GCACTGGAAAGTCACCCATAGTGTCATATTGTTAATAGTTACCAATCAAAATATTATTCAAGATGGCGGTTACCCGCTTTTGCTATATATATGATTATATTTAAGATGTGCCGGTATAACTCTTATGAGTTATTCACCAATTGTAAACGCATACGTATTACGCACGTACGGTCAACAAAAAGAGTATCTAGTGGCTATTAATTATATTTACTAACTATAGGGAGTGAATTTTGTCCTCGCCATTTTGATATTCAACAATTGAATTACTATGCGGACCGTACTTGTATGTATATGTATGCAAATAAGTCTTATCTTGTAAAAATCTATACAGAACTTATAAAATTGTATTATAATAAAATTGTATTTAATTCCGCACCAAGCTATGGTGGTCAAACTCGCTTGCGTAATATTCAGATTGTACAAAATTTTAATGAAACTAACCAATTAAAGTGCACATCCCTTTGACAAATATCCGATTGTTTGTGACAATAAAAGCGAGTTTGCTACACATAGCTCATCATATTCAGCTCCTATTCTCCATTCGGATACACGTCCAGAATAACATTTACAAAAAAAAACTTACAGTAATTGGCTATTTATCACATATTATAGTCAATTATAAGACTACATTATTTACATGAGAGTATGTGCAAACAAAGTCACAAAAAGGTTATACTTAAAGTTATCTACACAGTGGAAAATAGTAGAATGAGCATAAAGTCAGGTCAGTTAACCCATTGTGACAAATTCAACAGGAATTTATCATGAAGGTGTCCAGGGAACCGCGTGGAGGTCAACCTGACATAGTGCTTTGCTAGCAATGGGGATTATTAGTCCACATTAACTTTTCCCCGTTGAAATCAATTATACCCAGTAAAATGTAGGTATTTCAAATGTTTCTTTCAAGACTTCGACAGTTGTCAATTTCTATCTACCCCATCAGGGATTACAACCGTGAAAGTTCATATATACTTATATAATAAATAGAATTTAAAAATCATTCATGCATTTTTGGGAATTTTAGCCGCTTAGAAACTTTTTTCTTTTTATATTTTATTTTTCCTACCGTCCAGTTCAGTAAACAGATTCAATTGTGAAATACAGGCAAGAAACTGAATTTCTATTTCAATCGTATTAAATAATTACAAACTATATTAATCACTATTCTATTACTGCATACTACACGGGTCTGATATAGAGGAAAATGGAAGGGGCAGATCAGGTTTGATTTTAGTCCAGAGGAGATATGTTTTCTACCGACTTGGGAGATTTAAGTCAGAGTTAGACCGAATCGCTCTTTTTTAAAAGTAATTATATATGCATATAGTAACACATATATATATAATTCTTAAGGCTTGGTAGATGCCCTCCTCACACCCTCACCCTCTAGCTCTCCCATAGCTACATATAGATATGAAAAGACGTGTATCCGAAATATGTTCCCCAGCAAGTTATAATGTACAAATGGCCGACATCACTCTGTTTTGATGTACCTATTATCCAGAACGTTCACTACTGAAGTTTTACAATATCAAAATTTGACATAAAATAAATCAATTTATTTCTATATTCCAAAATGTCAATAATAAAAATATTTACATATTTTTTAATAATTCCAAAATGATTTATGTACATAAATCATAAGCAAGTACATAAATCAGTACTAATAGTAAAAAAGTGATTCAGAGAATTTGAAAATTACCATTATGTAATTACTACCGCAATCCAATATTATCCACAATCTAATTTACTTGTAAAATTTTTATTGTTTTATAAATATATATAGAGATTTCTAAATAATAATCATTCATTACTTGAAAATTGCTTAATTTAATGAAAATTGTCCGACTTCGGTAGTGAACGGTCTTTAAGGTGAACGCACATACGTAAGCGACAAACGCACTAAAATAATGTAACACAATCCTTTTAAATATATAAATTCCGAAACTACTAAATCAATTATAATGATTTCTTTTTCATCGTGTGTAAAATTTGGTCCAACTTAAAATATAATTTTTAAACCCATAAGTGACCTTCAATTCTTTTTTTTATTTGGGCTGTTTTATTAAAAAAAACTTTGGAAAATAAGCCCATAATCAATTAGTGCACTTACTGTAGGCATTTCAAATTTTAATGATTTATAATACAGTACTTTCGGAGTTTATACATTACAAATATATATAAATTCATCTTTATACTATTAGTTTAGATATGAAACATCAACTCATCATTGACAATGAACCAAGTGTGTGGTAGAATGCGATTGTATTGTCATTAAATTTTCAGCGCCGACAAATTAATATAAAGCGCTGTAATGTTTAGATGATATGTGACACGGTGCGTTGGCCGTATGTCAATGTGCGTTCAGCTTTATACCAATATATATTACTTATGTATATGAACAAGTTTGAAAGATTCAGTGCATTTAATAGCTAGCAATTTAAAGGTTTATTCTCATATGTTGTTATAGTTCGCCAAATTTATAAAATAAGAGAGTTATGAACACATTTTTTGGAGCGCCGCTAGTTCATTGTTTTTAATTTATTTATATTGAAATTATTAAGTTATTAGTTTTAGCATAATCAGATGTAATTACCTAACCAAAGATGTCTACCTGTGTAGTCATATGCAACTAATACAATAATAATTCGCCTACTTTGCATGTATAATTTAGTTAATGAACGTTTAAACTATTTATCGAGTTATTAATATGTATATTGCTGAAATATTTTAAAACTAAATTACTATTCAATTATTTATTATTATACACTTATTACGTTTAGTATGCTAGAAATATAATGAAGGATAATAAATAATTTTAATTATATTAGGAACGTGTTTCATTTTCCCGCTCGAATTGCAGTCGACACTTTTTTTTTAATTGGAGAACGGGAGGCTTAGGAGCTCAGTTAAAATCTGGCCGAGAAACTTAATGTGCTGATTTATATTTCCTGTTGATTCTCGTATGATGGATTACACCGCTAATAAAAAGAAAAATCACTATACCTAACTATAGAATATTATCTGTTACTTTGGATTCATATATACGCAACAAAACGCGGCGTGTTAAGTGTTACATTTAAAGTATAAATACCCTCTGACTATTTTGGATTTGGAATACCAGGCGTAATGGTATATTAATTTTTTTTTTTTAAAAAAGTGGTGGCAAAATAATTGAACTATTTTTTATACAATTAAAATGACGAACAAGCTGCCCACTTGAATACGCAGCAAATGTCTCCATATACAGGAATAGAACTACGGACATCACGTTATCATGTGATACCCGTGATAGCACTCATACATAGCTATAAGATGTCATGCCTCTTATACTATGACTACTCAATTAGACCTCAAATTGCATCAAACTGTACACTATGAACCGTTCATAACGAATAATTATTTCACTGCCAAATGCCAACCTTCGAACAAAAACACAACTTTCAAAGATTATACTTGACTGCAGGAATAAATTCTTTACGTAATAAATACGACAGAGGTTCCTGTAAAAGACTTTTTTCTAAGTCAAACTTGGGATACGAGGGTTAAACTGAAAGTTCTTAGAAAATCAAATACTGATTAAATTAGCAAGTTATTACCTTTATTTTATCTTTTCAAATTAGTGTCCATTCACATCAATACGAGCAGCATCCGATAGAACCACTGAGAAAAGCACTTTGCCCACTCATCCTTTGGTGTCTCTTCGACGGCCTTCTGAAACGTAGCCACAGCATGCTCGGCGTCCATAAAACGTTTTCCTCGAAGTTTTTCTTTTATTTTTCAGAATAAAATCGATAACGTTACACAGACTATTTTCAATTTGCCGCCAAACCGTAAAACAAATGACAAACGAATAAATTATATACTCAGTATTATTCGTAAAGAGTTACATTTTCAAAAATTGAACAATTATTTTTATTAAATTGCTTTCAAGTAGCCAGCTCTAAAAACTTTCAGTGTAGCCCTCGTATGTCATAAAATATCGTACAGATATTCCTTTGTCTCGGGACCTCCACGAGGATTATAAAATAAGAATATAACAATAGAAAGAAAAAAAAATACACCTTATTTCTATATAAAATCCGTGATAAATACCAGGAGGACATAAACTGTAAAGAGACCGCGGGAAGTCTGCAACTGTGAGCGATACAAGTTAAAAGTTACAGAATAGAACGGCCCACGATTGTTTCCACTTCAGTGAGACAAGAGTGAGACCACCACTATCACCTACAAGAGTGAGAGAGATAAACCTATGTCACTTTGAGATAAAACGCTAAAGAGGGATAGCAACTTTTCTCTCATTTCCACCAAATACGAGTACGATATACCTAATACCTTTTTATTATTATTAATAACAAATTTTATGGTACAATCAACACCATGTTTCGAATTCTTATCACTTGTGACCTCTAAACTGTATGAACCTGTTTTTCATCCCTATTCTCAAACGATATAAAGCAAAAAAACTTTAAAAAGACAAAAATTTCAGTAGTAAAATACATAGGGCAAATTCAATGTGGATTCATTAGTTTAAGTCCTAGTAATTGGAATATAACACCAGTCAAAATTGTTCCATCGTATCACTTCTGTATGTAACTAGACAATAAAAATAATAAACTCTTAGAAATGTACCGTTCTGACAGAAGAAATATCAAAGTGATCTAATCATTACAAAGTCGTTGTCGCTGTCTGTCCGTTCCTATGTATGCTAAAATCTTTACAACTACGCAACAGATTTTGAAGCGGTTTTTTTAATAGAGTGATTCAAGAGGAAGACATACAGAATACATGTACACCCGTGCGAAGCCGGGGTGGGTAGTAGCCTATAAATTCCTGTTACATAGTCCGAATTTGCCTTATAAATAATTTACCTTTTTCATAATAAATACATAACATTTTCTGATCTTTAAAATGTTAAGGCAAGTCTATACAAATATTATTGATAGAGATCCGTTGCTAGGTTATCCTTTTTAGGTTAGAGAGAAAAAATAAAGACATAGTAAAACATAATAATTTATTATTTCAAAATACATCAAATGGACTTCTTACTAAAATAGTCTGTAATTTTCTTACTGATCTTCTTTTTCGATTCGACCGATATATCCATTGGTATTTTCTCGTCGCAGTCCATTGACGTATCCATATTCTTGGACATGCCCTTAGTAGTTTGTTTAAACTGTGTTCTATTGGAATCTGTCAAATTCAATTTTCCATTAGTCTCATCAAACTTCTCCATTTCATTAAACAACCGCGACGTACTTGATGTACTTGCCGCGTTACGTTCGCTCGCCGCCATTTTGTTGTCACTCAGCGCCATTTTGTAATCACTTGACCGGGGTTCGGTATCTTTGGTACTTCTTGTATCTGGTTTAGACTCTTCTTTTGGCTGATCGGATTCATCTTGCGAAAATAAATCAGGCGAATCGTTTAGGAATTCTTTTTCTAATGAACTTGATAGTTCAAGAAGTACTGGCTTTTCTGATTCGTCCTGAAATTAGATAAATTATTTTTATAGGCACAGAAGAGTAGTAAGATAATTTTAGATTTCATTATGGACCTCTTAATGAGGTAACCACAGCTTACATACATAAAAAGCACAACGATCTATATTATAATCTGAAAAGGTGCCACATAACTACGCTATGTTGTTATGAGGCACCTTTTCAATTTATAATATAGTACCCTGAATTAAATAATAACTAAATAAAATTGACAATCTCGGTGTGGTCTAGCAGTTTAACACACCGCCTTAATTCTGATGGTCGCGGATTCGATTCCGCGTAACATTTGTATACATGACTATGTTTGTATCGGTCTAGATGTTTACTATGTATCAGTTGTCTAGTACCCATAATACAAGCTTTAGCTAGCTTAACTTGGGTGTAGTTGGCTCTGTGTGAATTGTCCTGGAAGATTATTATATTATAAGCTAACTACTCGCCCCGGCTTCGCACGTAAATAAACCTTCCTCTTTGAATCACTCTATCTATTAAAAAAACCGTTGTGTAGTTTTAAAGATTTAAGCATACATAAGGACAGACAGACAGCGACAGCGACTTTGTTTTATACTATATATACAATATATAATATTTTTCACTAACCGAGACACTTTCCACACTTTTCGTCATGGAGGCCCCGTGCTTCTCCGTGATCATCTGCTCGATGTAATCGTATAAATTCTCCGGGTCTGCGTTGGGTGTGCGCGAAAACTGAATGATGTACTTATATAGTTCCCCTGAAATAAAGAGAGATTTTCATTTACCTCTGCTGGAGACCTACGCTTTGGCCGCAGCAAAATATTCTCTATTATTAACAAACCATACTAATATAACAAAAAAATCTTGTCAGGTTGTTTCTCCGTGATTGAATCATAAATTTCTAACTGATTTTGCCGACTTAACTGCTAACGGCGTGGTACTCACCGACGGTGAGGGTGCGGGCGGCGGTGACCGCGAGGTGCAGGCTGTCGCGCAGGCGCCGGTCCCCGAAGGTGCGGTAGGCGAGCGGGGGGCGGGGGGCGGGGGGGGGCGGGGGGGGGGCGGGCGGCGTGGTACTCACCGACGGTGAGGGTGCGGGCGGCGCTGACCGCGCGGTGCAGGCTGTCCCGCAGGCGCCGGTCCCCGAAGGTGCGGTAGGCGAGCGGGGGGCGGGGGGCGGGGGGCGGGGGGCGGGGGGCGGGGGGCGGGGGGCGGGCGGCGGGGTACTCACCGACGGGGAGGGTGCGGGCGGCGCTGGCCGCGAGGTGCAGGCTGTCCCGCACGGGTCCCCGAGGGCGGTAGGCGAGCGGGGGGCGGGGGGCGGGGGCGACCGCGCGGAGGGTGCGGGCGGCGCTGGCCGCGAGGTGCAGGCTGTCCCGCAGGCGCCGGTCCCCGAAGGTGCGGTAGGCGAGCGGGGGGCGGGGGGCGGGGGGCGGGGGGCGGGCGGCGTGGTACTCACCGACGGTGAGGGTGCGGGCGGCGCTGGCCGCGAGGTGCAGGCTGTCCCGCAGGCGCCGGTCCCCGAAGGTGCGGTAGGCGAGCGGGGGGCGGGGGGCGGGGGGCGGGGGGCGGGCGGGCGGGGGCGGGGGGCGGTACTCACCGACGGTGAGGGTGCGGGCGGCGCTGACCGCGAGGTGCAGGCTGTCCCGCAGGCGCCGGTCCCCGAAGGTGCGGTAGGCGAGCGGGGGGCGGGGGGCGGGGGGCGGGGGGCGGGCGGCGTGGTACTCACCGACGGTGAGGGTGCGGGCGGCGCTGACCGCGAGGTGCAGGCTGTCCCGCAGGCGCCGGTCCCCGAAGGTGCGGTAGGCGAGCGGGGGGCGGGGGGCGGGGGGCGGGGGGCGGGCGGCGTGGTACTCACCGACGGTGAGGGTGCGGGCGGCGCTGGCCGCGAGGTGCAGGCTGTCCCGCAGGCGCCGGTCCCCGCGGTAGGCGCCGGTCCCCGACGGTGAGGTGCGGTAGGCGAGCGCCGGTCCCCGGGCGCGCGCGGGGGGCGGGGGGCGGGGGGCGGGCGGCGTGGTACTCACCGACGGTGAGGGTGCGGGCGGCGCTGACCGCGAGGTGCAGGCTGTCCCGCAGGCGCCGGTCCCCGAAGGTGCGGTAGGCGAGCGGGGGGCGGGGGGCGGGGGGCGGGGGGCGGGGGGCGGGCGGCGTGGTACTCACCGACGGTGAGGGTGCGGGCGGCGCTGACCGCGAGGTGCAGGCTGTCCCGCAGGCGCCGGTCCCCGAAGGTGCGGTAGGCGAGCGGGGGGCGGGGGGCGGGGGGCGGGGGGCGGGGGGCGGCGTGGTACTCACCGACGGTGAGGGTGCGGGCGGCGCTGACCGCGAGGTGCAGGCTGTCCCGCAGGCGCCGGTCCCCGAAGGTGCGGTAGGCGAGCGGGGGGCGGGGGGCGGGGGGCGGGGGGCGGGGGGCGGGGGGCGGGGGGCGGGCGGCGTGGTACTCACCGACGGTGAGGGTGCGGGCGGCGCTGACCGCGAGGTGCAGGATGTCCAGCAGGCTCCGGTCCACGAAGGTGCGGAAGTCGAGCGGGGGGCGGGGGGCGGGGGGCGGGGGGCGGGCGGCGTGGTACTCACCGACGGTGAGGGTGCGGCGGCGCTGGCCGCGGGTGCAGGCTGTCCCGCAGGCGCCGGTCCCCGAAGGTGCGGTAGGCGAGCGGGGGCGGGGGGCGGGGGGCGGGGGGGGGGGCGGGCGGGCCGCAGCTCACCGACGGTGAAGTTGCCGGTCGCCGCGCCCGGGAGCTGCGCGCCCGGACCGGAGCCCCACCACGACAGGCCCACCCACGCCTGCGGACACGCATCACACTCGCTCATTCCCTTTTCAAAAAGACATCCAATTATTTTCGGAATCATTCCGGTAGATACATTTCACATCTCTTAAGAGTCTGTAATAGACCTACATAAATAAAAATATTTTGAATTAGCATTTTTTTTTCGGAATAATTCATAGATTTTCACATATTTTCTGTAATAAAATAAAACTATCGTTGTCCGGTAACCACCTCTGTCACAGCGTTAAGTTGGCTGGAATAGATCTCTTTCAGAAATAAGCCCAACCTCGCTCACATTTTTGTATAACCATCTTTTTATTTTATATTGTCACAAGTGCAATAAAGTATATATATACAATCCAAATTTTATACAAAATTAAAAAAAAGATACAAAGAATTTGTATGTAAACAAAGAGAAAAAGAAAGATCGCGCCGTTAGCACGCACATTCCTGGAATGCATCCTAAAATCAAACGTCCTTTAGTAATTTTTATAATTAATTATTATTTCAAAATGATCAGGACCATGGAACAAAAACATTATTATAGTTTGTGACAAATTATAAATCATAAATATGTCTTTGGATAATAAAATCTAGTAAATAAAATAAATTTTAGTAGAAACCATAAAGATTGTATGTGTTAGGGAAACTACTCTGCTACCAAAATGTTAAGGAATTTACTCTCTGTATATATATAGTGAAAAATGAGTGGAAGCGTCAGTCACGTACCTGTATGGTTCTGCGGATTTCTTGGGCTTCAGGGTCTCGAAGATATCTTCGCTAGCTTTCCAGTTTCACAGTAGGTTTCACAGTTCTAATTTATTTTAATTCACAACACAATGCGCGCGCGTCATGGCCGCCGTACAGTCGGTTCAGTACTAGGTAAGGGAGGGGAAGGGAACCGCGGGAACACAAACTAACGGACTCTAATATAATAATAATCTGTGCTTACGATGGTACAGGGTAGATTTTGAACAGTATGTATGTGTACTTTGTTGAGGTCCATGGCGTCTACGACCAGCACGGCCGTCAGCTCGTGTGTACCTTGTTGAGGTCCCGCAGTACGGCGGCGGGGGTCAGCTCTGAGGCGGTGGAGTGGTGCGGGAGTGCGTCTATGGCCAGCACGGCCGTCCGGCGCCGTCCGCTGCCGTCCGGCGGAGTGTTGTCCGGGAACGAGCCGGCCCACCGGAACGTGCTGCCGTACCCCTCATAAGTGCTGAACCGCTCGCACCCTGACATGTTCCTTTCGTTAAGTTTCACATATACTTATACCATCATGACATACAGCACCAAAAAACAGCCAGACCATAACAATTCGTGCGGGACCTCCACGTTTATACCGTGCGAAGAATCGGACTCGCAGCCGGCTAAAATAAGGCCGTTAGAATGTTTATGATTATATATATATATTATATATTATAATTACCGGTGTTTCTATCATCGTAAAGTAAGATTATATGGCACGTCTTAAGAGACGTAAAATACCAGACTTCAAGAACCTGGCATAAGCTGGAATATCTGAGGCTGGATTCTCAATGGAGAATCACCTCTCACGATACGATGATATAAACACCGGTAACAAATTGTACCCAACAATATGTGGGCATTCAAGTCCACCACTTATCAATATTCTGTGTACCCACACAGGAGACGGAGGCACCATTTCATTATCACCCATTAAAAGATCTTTTTTGGGATTTCAATTGAGATATTTCTGTATACTGCCAATTAAAAATTAGGATTTTAACATACTACATTCCCAGTGAAAAACATAAAATTAATAAAGAAACAGAGACAATACTCATAATATAATCATAATGCGAACTTATCACAATGTTACAAATAAAAAAAAAAGATGATTAACTAAAACAATCATTGCTGATTCTCAAAATATATTTAAAGTAATCAAATAGGTATAGAAAAATACCTATTTAATTAGGTACTTTAAACAAATAAATGAGCAGCAAGTTTTTTTTTATACCACTTAAACAGTGGCAAACAAGCATACGGCCCATCTGATGGTAAACAGTTACCGTAGCCTATGGACGTCTGAAACACCAGGGGTGTCACATGCTCGTTGCCGACCCTACAATTTATTGTCTATATTAATATCAAGCTATATTTACCAATCATCATAACAGCTTCGTTAGATAACAGCATTTCTGTAAACAGCATCGATATGATCAGCTCCGGGCATATCACGAATCTGATTTCCTCCTGCACGCAGCCGTGTCCCAAAACTCCGCCGCCCAGATATCTAAAATAACAGTTTTAAATGCACAATCTATCTTAATTTTTTTCAAGTCTACTGTTATAAGGGTGGTGCTTGTTAGGCAAATGGTAGGTACAACACTAGTGTATTAACGTTTATTATAATAATAAATCAATCCTTATATACTACTTAGAAAGAAATAATGAAAAGGTTAGTCGACATCACAGAAGACTGAAGAGCTGGCAGCTACCTTGGACAAAGAATTAGTCTAGCTATTCAAAGAGGGAACGCTGCCAGTATCTTCGGAACGTTGCCTAAAGGGACCCCTTTTAATAATATATTTTAGGCATCATATTATATTTTTTTAAGCTTTTTAATTTTAGGTTCTTAGTTGTACAATTAGGTTATGTAAATTTTTAATTAAATGCATATATCTACTTATTTACTAAGTACATATTCATCCTCACACTGTAATACTGTTGGCCGCAGCTAGCCCATACAGCTCACCGGATGATAGGAGGCGAGTGCAGATGACGCTCCAAACCAAAGGAAGGACTTATGGAGCGGCTGAAGGTCAATTCACGCCTGACGGATACGACTTTAGTCTAAGGGCACCGCTAGGGGTTCGAACCTCGACTCCGTCGTAATATCGACCACCCTTCGAAAAGGACGGGGGATCGATCTATGGAGCGGCTGAAAGCAAACTCCCGCCTGACGGATACGACTTTAGTCTAAGGGCACCGCTAGGGGTTCGAACCTCGGCTCCGTCGTAATATCGACCACCGTTCGAATAGGACGCGGGATCGATCTATGGAGCGGCTGAAAGCAAACTCCCGCCTGACGGATACGACTTTAGTCTAAGGGCACCGCTAGGGGTTCTAACCTCGACTCCGTCGTAATATCGACCACCGTTCGAATAGGACGGGGGATCGATCTATGGAGCGGCTGAAAGCAAACTCCCACCTGACGGATACGACTTTAGTCTAAGGGCACCGCTAGGGGTTCTAACCTCGACTCCGTCGTAATATCGACCACCGTTCGAATAGGACGAGAGATCGATCTATGGAGCGGCTGAAAGCAAACTCCCACCTGACGGATACGACTTTAGTCTAAGGGCACCGCTAGGGGTTCTAACCTCGACTCCGTCGTAATATCGACCACCGTTCGAATAGGACGGGGGATCGATCTATGGAGCGGCTGAAAGCAAACTCCCACCTGACGGATACGACTTTAGTCTAAGGGCACCGCTAGGGGTTCTAACCTCGACTCCGTCGTAATATCGACCACCGTTCGAATAGGACGGGGGATCGATCTATGGAGCGGCTGAAAGCAAACTCCCGCCTGACGGATACGACTTTAGTCTAAGGGCACCGCTAGGGGTTCGAACCTCGACTCCGTCGTAGTATCGACCACCGTTCGAATAGGACGGGGGATCGATCTATGGAGCGGCTGAAAGCAAACTCCCACCTGACGGATACGACTTAGTCTAAGGGCACCGCTAGGGGTTCGAACCTCGACTCCGTCGTAATATCGACCACCGTTCGAATAGGACGGGGGATCGATCTATGGAGCGGCTGAAAGCAAACTCCCACCTGACGGATACGACTTTAGTCTAAGGGCACCGCTAGGGGTTCGAACCTCGACTCCGTCGTAGTATCGACCACCGTTCGAATAGGACGGGGGATCGATCTATGGAGCGGCTGAAAGCAAACTCCCACCTGACGGATACGACTTAGTCTAAGGGCACCGCTAGGGGTTCTAACCTCGACTCCGTCGTAATATCGACCACCGTTCGAATAGGACGGGGGATCGATCTATGGAGCGGCTGAAAGCAAACTCCCGCCTGACGAATACGACTTTAGTCTAAGGGCACCGCTAGGAGTTCGAACCTCGACTCCGTCGTAATATCGATCCCCGTTTGAACTGGACTCCCGGACGGATACGATCGGGCACCGCTAGGGGTTCTAAATATCAACCACCGTTTGAATTGGACGGGAGATCGAAGAGGAAACTATCTTAAGTGAATCCTCTTATATCTAGAGAATACGGCATTTACATGTACAATATTTCTTGCATGAAGCCTATTTTACGCAGGAAAGATTGTGCGCGCTGGCAGTTAGCGCGTTGCCGCATTCTTCGATCGTACGTGCTTTAGCGCTATTTTGTAATAATTATCATTGGATCAATACTCAATACTCAATACTTATTGCATTCCATAATATTACAATGAAAGATATTCATAATTCGTTTTTGATCATTATAGACCCTGTAGGGCATACAAACATAACATTATTATTATTATAACTATCTATTATAATATGACATTAATTATATATTACATAAGAACTAAAATATAACATTTAAATATTCGCTTACATTATGATATTGTTTTTTAAATAGTAAATGGTTTAAGTATTTTATAAATAGGCTATTCTTATTCAAAGTTTTTATAGAAGTTGGGTGTTGGTGAAATATTTTAAGAGATGTTACCAAGGGGCCACTACATCAAAGACATAATTATAAGAGTTTATGGCTGTATACATATTGTATAGGCAGCGCGCATGCGAAGCTGCGCGCGCAACTGAAATATGTCAATTGCCTGTCTTTTTTTTTATATAACATAGGGGACAAACATGCGGCTCACCCGATGGTAAATGATTACCGCCGCCCATGAGCACCCGAAACACCAGGGAAATTGCAAGTACGTTGTCGGCCTTTTAAAAAGGAATAAGCTCTTTTTTTAAGGTTATCGTATCGGTTCGGAATACCATTGCTGGAAGGTGATTCCACAATGTGTTTGTGCGTGACAAAAAGGTTCTAGAAAACCGCACTGTTGAGGAACGCCATTTATCCAGATGATCAGGATGGTATTTTAGTTTCTGGCGGGTAGTACGGTGGTGAAACTCAGCGGCTGGTATTAATCCGAACAATTCCTCAGAACACTCCCCGTGATATATGCGGTAGAAAATGGACAGAGATGCAATATCACGCCGCAAAGCGAATGGGTCGATTCTGTCACATAGACGTTGATTACCAATGATTCTGGCTGTCTCATATAAAATTAAAGATAGTATATTTATATAGTATTACAATGCAAACTGCATTGTAATTTTATATAAATATACATAAATATCCAGATGAAGCCCATAAGTTATTTATAGAAACTTGTTTTTGGAAAATAATAAATGTGGAATGTTATTAATATAATAAACACGAAAGTTTTTGCGTTCATAATTAGTATTAGGAACGCAAAAACGAACGGGTCCGTACAGTATAAATATGTGAATACTAACTTGTTAGCGAAGTCGAGCTGTATGAGCCCGTGCGAGTCCTCGATGGTGGTGGCGCTGTCGATGTGCAGCGGCACGGCCAGCGTCCGCGTGGAGGCCGCCCAGTCCGGCAGCTGGTCACGTGGCACCGCGCGCCGGGAGAACGTCATCACCCCCACGGGGACTGTACTGCAACACCCGCCCGTTAGCTCACTTTACACCACTTTACCTTCTATCACGCGTAGCTATTCACATCGCGTGCATTTATACTACCTTATCTTCGTCGCTGTTGCTGTCTGTCCCTATGTATGCTTAAATTTTTAAAACAACGCAACGGATTTTGAAGGGTTTTTTTAATAGATAGAGTGATTCAAGAGGAAGGTTTATATATATACTAGCTGTCCCGGCAAACGTTGTTTTGCCTTAAAATAAAAATAAAAAATTTAGGGGTGGACTACCCCTAACATTTAGGGGGATGAAAAATAGATGTTGGCCGATTCTCAGACCTACTCAATACGCTCACAAAATTTCATGAGAATCGGTCAAGCCGTTTCGGAGGAGTATGGGAACGAAAACTGTGACACGAGAATTTTATATATAAGAAGATAATATATGTACACCCGTGGGAAGCCGGGGCGAGTAGCTAGTAATATTATAAACGCGAATGCGAAAGTTTGTAAGCGCGGAAGTTTGTTACTGTTTCACGCAAAAACTACTGAACGGCTTGTGATGAAACTTTACAGAAATACAACTGAAATTTATAGCCCACATATTATTCTTACGTTACGTTCATAAGCGGCTAAAATGTCCTACATGAATAAATGATATCTGAATTTTAATTTATGAATTTCAAATTTAACTATGGACAGTGTACTGCTGCTCCATTAGAAAACAGCCTACGTTTCTTTCTCCTTTATAATCATACCCCTGGACAATTCACACAACGTCATCTAGTCCCAAGATAAGTAGTACTTGTGTTATAAATACACTAAATATGGGACACAGTCACCTAGATATATCAAAATAATAATGTCTGTTCAAAATCTACCCTGTACCATCGTAAGCACAGATTATTATATTAGAGTCCGTTAGTTTCTGTTCCCGCGCTTTTGCTTTCCCCTCCCTTACCCAGTACTGAACTGACCGTACAGCGGCATTGACGCGCGCGCGCATTGTGTTGTGAATTAAAATAAATTAGAACTGTGTTAAACCTACTGTGAAACTGGAAAGCTAGCGAAGATACCTTCGAGACCCTGAAGCCCAAGAAATCCGCAGAACCATACAGGTACGTGACAGACGCTTCCACATATTTTTCCCTATATATATACATAGTACTTTCCCTAACATTTTGGTAGCAGAGAGGAGTTTCCCTAACAATGTCTAGTAAGACAAATTCAATATTGTACTAAGCACTGCTGTGTCTAAACTGTGTCACCCCACCTTACATTTTCCTATTGTCATTTAGTATATAAGATCAATATTTCTATGTACATATTGTCAGTTTATTATCATCCGTTATATACATCGTCTCGACCAACAATATCGTATCATTTATTAACACTAGACAACTGATATAATAAATACATACAATTTTTTTTATAAAAACATACGTAACTAGCTTTTGCTAGCGGCTTCGCCCGCATTAATTTATCCCCTTAGGGGTGGATTCATCCAAATCCTTTCTTAGTGGATGCCTACGTCATAACATCTACCTGCATGCCAAATTTCAGCCCGATCCGTCCAGTGGTTTGGGATGTGCGTTGATAGATCACTATGTCAGTCACCTTTGCGTTATATATATACGTAATATACATAGATAACACCCAGACCGATACAAACAGTCATACTCATGAATACAAATGTGCGAGGAATCGAACCTGCGACCACCAGAAGTAAAGCATGTTTCTAAAGGGTCGGCAAAGCGCACGTGACACCCCTGGTGCTTCAGGCGTCTATAGGCTACGGTAAACATTTACCATCAGATGGGCCGTATGCTTGTTTGCCACCATCGTAGTATAAAAAAAATGTTTTTTACCGTCTCGGGAGAGTCAAGTCAGATTTTAGACTGAGTCGCTTTTTTCAAAAGGTATTGCATATACGTATTGTAACATATACAATTTTTAAGACGTGGTACATGCTCTACTCACCCAGGAAGGTGAGGAGGGCATGTACCACGTCTTAAAAGGAAGGAAAGAGATGTGAAGGTGTCGGAGATGTGAACCATATCACTGATATAATATAAATATAAAGAAGTAATTCTACATAAAAATAATATTACCTTTTTCAGTAACTCGTTTGAAATAGTGGCATATGCACTTCAGTTTCTCTAATACCGGCACTGAATTACACTCGTATAACCTGAAAAAATATTATTTTCATCTATGAAAGATAATCAATTAATACAAATACAGGTAAATGAGTAAATATAAACACGACTAGAATCGCAGATGGGGTAAGCAGAGGCATTATTAATTACTAAAGAAAAATAAATAATGCAACATTTTATTCTACTATTATAAATGCGAAAGTTTGTGAGTATGGATGGACGTTTACAACTCGTTCACGAAAAAACTACTGAACGGATTTTGATGAAACTTTACAGTAATACAGTTCAGGCCTAAAGCGCCTGATATATTTTAATAGCACCAAGAAGATGCACTGAATAGTCGCATTGCATGTATACTTGTTTTTTGTATAATAATAATAATAATCTCAGGACAATTCACACAGCGCCATCTAGATCCATGTTAAGCTAAAGCTTGTGTTATGGGTACTAGATAACTGATACAAATACATAGATTTTTTTTTCGTAAATATATACATATTATACATAGAAAATACCCAGACCGATACAAACAATCATACTCATGAATACAAAATGTTTATGCCGTGCGAGGAATCGAAGCCGCGACCATCGGACGTAAAGCAGTGTGCAACACCGCTAGACCACCGACGTCGTCAAATTATAATTAAAATAATAATTGTATACCTGCATCATTTTTATTTATTTCTTATATAGACCTTCGTCCATTATTGAGTTCACTTCTTTTTGTATTAACCTAATATGTAAACGTTATTGAAATTAAAATACTTAAACAAACTGAAAAACTGTTGCGAATATACCTGATTGTCCGCTCCAGAGGCACTGGATAACGTTGCATTGTGGACCCAGTGCTTCTGGACGTGGACACAGATATATGAATTAAATATATCTACGTATATGTATATTATAAGTTACTAACATAGTTTTATAAGTTTTTACTAACACAATATGCATGTAATCCGAATTAAAATCAAATAAATAAACATAAATTCTGCGTTTCATTAGAAGCTCCATTATGTTATACAAGACAATAGCTTATATATCAGAATAACATATAGGCTATAAATTACGCGCGTGTGAAACCGCGAGCACAGCTAGTATTACATTAATTAGTTATACTCACGCGCTAAAATTTATATTAGGATAAGAGGCATACTCCGACGACCTCTTGTTAGAGTTACGCCGCGGAAACGTACAGAAGAACGCGTTCGCCAACAAACTGGCGATCTGTTGCTGTGATAGAGATACCGAATGGTTCTTATTCTGTCTGGAACAATAAAGAAATGTAAGGGCGTGTGCTAAGACCAACGAGACCATCGTCCATAATTAAATGTCGGCGCACAACACTAGCGATCGGCTCGCTGTAGGTCCAATCCGGTTGAGGTTGGCTCGCCTGTACCCTTTTCGACGTCCACTACATATGACGAGTGCATAAAATTTATTTGTAACCTTTTAAAATATAATCATTAAAATTGGAGTCAGATTATTATTTATATCCACCTCGGAACATTAAATATTAGCTAATATTTAATGTAAAGAAACACAATTATAGGAAAATTTAATATACATGTGATAAAATTATAAACTTAAAAAGTTTACTGTAATAAATGCTATTATTATTATACAATGAGTTGCTGGCAGCTTGTGCACCATTTTTTTATAAATATTTTTATTATTTTTAATACCTCTTCTTTTTGTGTTTTTTTACTTCTTTGTGAGCCCTCTTGAGAATTATACATATATATAAAATTATTATCGTTTTAATTAAACAATTGTAGCATTCCAGCTCCAGTTACACAATATGTATATAAAATTAAAATATACTAGAATATTCCTAAAATAAATATACCCATAGATACTCACTTGAGTAAAGGAATGGGCGCCTGCACCAGCTTTGGTAACGCTAGTGTCAACTTTGCAATCTCTGGCAGTGTCACATCAAAAAAGTATTGAGTTTCCTCTTCTTCTAAGTACTGCAAACAGACATTTACGTATGAACAATTTATTTTAATTGAGTTTCTGACATTTTGGCAGTGTTTCAACCACCATGATCACAGTTAAACTGAAGAGCAGCAAAAGGTAAAATGTAACTAAAATCTTTTGTGGGATCAGGCATGATTATACACAGAAGCCATGCCTTCCATAATAAATAAAATAAGAACATATCTGTCATTGTATAGTTTAAGTAATATATATAGTAAAGTAGAATAGTTTTAAAATATAAATGTGTTGGCAATTAGCTGTAAGTTTATATTCTGTTAATTAAATAAATAAATTAGAAAATGTGTGCCCATGTAAGATTTTAGTTGCTTAATTCTGATTTTAGTTATATTCCAAACTTTTCTATTTTCAAATCAAATAAAATTGTAATCAATCAAATTATATATATAAATAAAATATCCTACATTTTCTCTATAAAATTATAATACACCACTTTGCTCTGTTGGTAATAATTTTTTCAATATAGGTGGTATAAGGATTTTTGTTATTTTATTACATTATGATCATCATGTTTTTATATATATAATAAATATTTTTTCCATGAGCATCAAGTTTTTTGTATTAATGAATATTTTCTCCCTACCATCTATTTCAGTATACAGATTCAATTGAGAAGAACTGGCCAGTCTCAAATCAACTGAATTACTTTTTATTATCTATATTCTTTAGGTATAATGTAGGATTCTTTTTTTCTGCATCCATCTTGCAATCAGTTAATGACTATGAACAGATGTGTTAAAAGTTATGTCATGGGTAGAATGTGATTCCCAGTAGAATCACCATCTCATTCAATGCATAGAAAAAAACAGTCAAATCTTTACTCTTTATATTATAGACTAGCCGTACACGTGGTTTGGTCCACATGGAATTTAACTTTATTTTACTAAAATAAAAGTAGCCTAAGTTGTTCCTTATTACATCAACTACCTGACAATAAAAGTCCCGTCAATATCGGTCCATCCATTTCACAGATTAGCCGGAACAAACAGATAACAGACAAAAATTGTAAAAAATTGTATTTTGGTGTATATTTTATATAGTATGTATCATATTTATATTCATATGCATGTAGTAAAAAACTGTTATAATATTACAAACAGACCAATTTCATTTATATGTATAGATGTATAGATGTCAGAATAGCATAATTTTAATACTGACATCATTAAACAGCATGTGCAGGGCTTGGAATTTCCAAATACTTTTAAACTTTGTGTTATATGATAATATAGCGTTAGCCAGCTCCTCACTATTACGTATTGGCTTCCACAATGCATGTTGTATCAGCTCCCATCTTTTCTTTAAGCGCGGTTTACCATTCTTCTGAAATAAATCAACATAAATTTAATTTATTAACAAATTTTAATGTTACAGACTCTTTAACGCAAATAATAGTTTGTAAGAGATTGCTTTGAGTGATAAGGATGCCTTTTGTTAGCATATTTTTATATTATCCAAACATGGCAAGACATTCAATAATGTGTTAATCTGTGACTGACTACTGTACAAATTATTACACTTACCCCTTCAACAGGGTACAAACTGTGAGGGGAGCATGGCATCCTCACATGGTCCTGGTCCCATTTGTCCTGACCGACTTGTGGTTTTGGAGCTACATCGGTGGGTATACTACCACTACTTGGTATATGATATAATACTGCATGGTTGTATGCTGGGGTTACCAGCGGAAACTCCGGGGCGCCCCAAGGTGATTGGGAGCCTATTATCTCAGAAATCGGAGCGCCTCTCCATGTGACATCCTCATTACTGGAGTTCATTGTGAAATGTGAATATTTAGTTATAACTGTAAAATAAGATTTATTCATTAGCAGTACACCTACAGGTTATACTTTACACGTTAATTAATATGATAAAAAAGAAATATATTATCTGAGGTCTGTACCTATATAATCTCTCAATAACAATTACACAAGAAAAATACTACTGTAATAACATTATGAAATGTATGTGTAATTATTTACAAAAACAACTTATAAAAACGGATAGACTATGTATGTAGACATAACAGAAATTTAGACACATTTATATATATTTAAATAAATAATAAAGATAATGTATGTATACCATAGTACTCACATGCAAGTTTACAGTTGTACCGTAGTCGAAATGATATCGATAAAATCATTAAATAGTAACAAAATATTCATGCTTTCACATATTTGGCTATTGATACTAAAATATTTACATTTATTCCCTCAGTAAATACTATAAAATATAGTACAAAATACAACATAAACACGCAGTAAGAAAAACATAAATTAGTTTTGTATAACTGTAATATAATATACAGAAAAAAACACAAGATACCGACAAGATTTACTTGAATAATAGAATAAAATAAAATATAAATTAATAATTAGCTATAACTAATAGCAACATATATGACTTATTCAGGAAATAACATTTCTTAAAAAATATTTAAGTCTAGGGATGTGAAATTGAAATCTTTATCGATCGATATAGTAAAAATATCACCTATGAATAAATAAAATTATAAACATTGTGATATCAAGCACTAATCCCTGGAACTAAAATGTTCATATTTTTAAATTAAAATTGGTTTCAGTAACTACAATTTTGTAATATATGTAATTTTAGAAAAATTAACAGTGGTTTATCTAAAACCTAATAATATTTTTATGCCTATAAACTTTGTACATAAAAACAGAAATTATAAATAAAGAAAGAATACGTGGCAGTGAAATAACGTAATAATCGATTACTCCGTATATCAAAATTTTGTGTTTATTAACTTTTAACTTTTGTTATTTATTGACAGTTTTCAAATTGTGTGATAAGATCCACTGAACATTATAAAAGCTTAATAAAAATATTGAACTAAACAAACTTCTATGAAATTGATAATTTTTATTTAATTGATTGATTAATCATTCATATTAATGACTATATTCCGATACAATTAAAAATAATTTTAGACTGCTTTAAGTAAACGACAATAGTAAAACCATTATTAAGTTTTCTTTTATTTGTTTTGTATCTCAAATTAAACGATTTTTTAAATTTTATATTCCAGGCATATCCTCTCACGTTCCCATATATAATACAACTAATAATTTTATCGAATTTGATAAGAAATTCCACAGAGCGTGTGTACATCACTAGTACATTTACTTTGCTTTTTAATAATGTAGCCGTGAGTAGAAATCTTTTTGCCAAATTTGATTTAAGAATGGTCGATAATACACTATTAACAATTAAACATTGAACTGAAAAATCAAATGTATTAGTAAAACTTTACCAAATTATAGAATTATTATATAAAACTAGTTATGCCCGCAGTTTGTTCATCTGCATGAAATTTATAGTCAGTGTGTTATTCTGATGCAAATATTTTTTACTTTACAATAATATGTAAAATTTTATTAAAATCCATTCAGTGGTTTTTGCATGAAAGAGTAACAAACATGCATCGATTCCATCCACACTCGCAAACTTACGCGTTTAAAATATTAGTAAAATGAAAAATGAACATTCGAGATAAATTATTAAATTAAATATTTTAAGTTACCAAGTGTATTTATTATAACCAATTGTAACTTCCAGTTACAAAATATTCTTTGACATTTAGCGTACACGACAGGTGTCAATAAGTATGCAGAGTAATTTTTTTTATACTCTGTGTTGTTTATTAACATAGAGTAATCAGTTGATATACAAATGAAGTAATATCAAATTTTCTTTTCTCAACTAAAAAACAATAACAAACTCTTATTCTGATTTTATATAATTTCTTGTACTATTTATTTCTGAATTTGGTTTTGTGCTCAGTGGTGCTATACAAAGCATTTCTACTGTCTGACAATAAAATAATAGCTATCACAATTAAACTATACCATGAATTTGGAACTATTAGGTAAACTTTAATATATGTACTTTATTATTTTAATTTGTTTATTATTAAATATGATGAAATATTTACATCGTTGTTTACTTTTATGTTTCAGAGTCATTCGGTCAAAATTATCCTGAGGTAAACTTAAAACTATATTTATAATACCGCGTAACCTGAAATCTGTTCGTATTATTCTAATTTTTATATATTTTTGTAGGAGTTCGATGGTACACTAGACTCGATATCGTTAGCGGCCACTTGTTCTTTCAACCGCCGCGGAACACTGCTGGCAGTTGGTTGTAACGATGGCAGAATCTTTATTTGGGACTTCCTGACCCGCGGTATAGCGAAATCAATATCAGCACATGTATATCCAGTATGCAGTTTGAGCTGGTCAAGGAATTGTAAAAAGGTATGAGAATAAGTATATGGAATGATCAAATTATGGGCCCTAGGCAGGTACCTCACTTAGGCATGTACCTATACCTTAGTCTGCCCCTGGGAATGGTGAACCCTTATGGGTACCCGTACCTAATGGATACCAGTGGAAATAGGATGAGATCAATGTCAGGTTGGTTAGTCCATAATAGGGAATTCTGGTGGAATTAGGCAGAATGACACATGAGATCAGGGAGCTTGGCTGCCTGCTCTATTAGTCTACATGCACAATGGCCCAAATAAGTGCCTCAATTAAAATAAAGTCTAACAAGAGTATAATCACAATGAATTCCATGGAAATTTGGAGATCTACCTAATTTTGTTCACAATGGTGTTACTGGTTCTTATATTTATATCATCTGTAACTCAAATTGTAAACATATTGTTAAATAATATATAGACTGATATATTCTACTAGCTACTATAAAATAATATTTCAACTATAAATTTATATATAAGCTATCCTATCTTTCAAGTTGAATCAAGTTGCACACAATGTGCAAATCAAATTTACAATCAGTTTAGTAGTTTAGGAGTCCATCGAGACATACAATGTGACACAATTTTTATATATAAAGATAATGACATTGTCAGCACAAATTGGAGGGAAAGTGTTTTGTGTAGAGTTAATCAATGTGCAAAATTTATAGTTAGCTATCTTCTTTATCTATCTTTTTGTGTAAGTGTCATCCATTGTGAAGGAATTACTCTGTCGCCAAAATGATGTTGAAGAGGCCGTTATAAAGTTTCAGAATATATTTAGTAGTTTATAACTGAAAGAATAACAAACATCACCAGAATCTGTCTGAATAACATCCTCGGAAACTTTTGCATTTATTGGGGTTACACATGTACAGTAATCAACAATTTATTACCATTTTCAGCTCGTATCAGCATCAACAGATCACAATGTGTGCATATGGGACGTATTATCTGGTGAATGCGAACAGAGGTACAGGTTTCCAACACCAATACAGAGGGTACAGTTTGATCCTCGCAGAGATAAAAGATTCCTAGTATGCCCCGTACGACATGCAGCACTATTAGTTGATACGGACGGAGACCACAAAATATTACCTATAGATGAAGATGTAAGTCTTGAGTATGTAATATAATAAAGCAGAGCAAAGCAGTTTTAAAAATCATATTTCCATTTTTTGTAATTATACTTCTCTTAAACGGCTTGACTCATTGAGACGATAATTTCATTAAAGGTTGACCTTAGTGACTCCATAATTTAGTACTCCAAAATATTTTTTCTTATTTGTTTATCTTTTTTAAACGATTTCTTTGCTTATTTTTGTGATTCTCTTGTTTTGGATTAATATTTTTCTTAGCAATCGGTCTAGGTCGAGTTTTTAAGATTAAACATGCTCCACTCTCTTGGTGTCTAAACAACACACTAGTAACAAACTAAACTAATAAACAGTATTACAACATATTAAACCTTCCTCTTGAATCACTCTATCTATTGCTAAATTGCATTAAAATCTGTTATGTACTTTAAAATAACTAAACGAACAGACAGTGGAAGCTACTACAATGTATACTATTTAAAAGTGATATTATTATTAAGTCTATAAAAATAAATAAAACTTAGCGTCTGTTTGTAATTTAACAACTTTTCAGTAAATGCATATGTATGCAAAAATAGATACTACTTATACTTACATGAAAAAAATATTTAAAAAAATTTACAGCAGCTTAGGGATTTAACAAATGATTTATTTCAGGGTGATATTAATGTCATAGCATCTTTTGATCGTAGAGGCGACCATGTATACACGGGCAATGCGAAAGGCAAAATACTCATTTTAGACTCTCAGACATTAGCAATAAAAGCTAGTTTCAAAATAACCGTTGGCACCTCGAGCACTACTAGTATTAAAAGCATAGAATTTGCAAGGAGAGGAGAGTAAGTACTTCATTCATTAAAAATAATTTGATTAAAGACTCCTTTACCTAAATATATACCTTATTCTTATACAGAATAAGGTATATATATTTTGATATTTTTCTATAAAATTGAATTCATAAGCTAAGCAAAAGATGTTACCATCAAATTAGCCTTATTAAATGTCTTTAAATGTATGCTCTTTCACTCGCAAATCGGCTATCAGTCGGAAAGAATGACCGTGTAAATGTGGATGAACAGATTGAGAAAGATCGCACGCGCCAGTGCGCTCATTCCCCGCATCCTTCAATCGTGCGTGCTTTTGTTTTTTTTTTTGTATTAATTAATTATCATTTCAAAACGGCGGATATCTGACTACGAAGTGAAGACAATTATATAAGAGATATTGATAATTTATATATGTATATTAAACAAGTCTGAAATAATGAAAGAGTGACCACAAAAAATAGTTAAATGTAATCACTCAAATTACCGAAACAGCATTTGTGAGTTAAATACTTAAAATATATTTAACCGTTTTAGACTGATGTGATAAACAAACCTTATATATATTATATACATATTCCCATGAAGGTCATATAGCTACCCAGGTATATATACTGTTTATTGAGCCTTAATAAAAAACTGGAAAATGACTTATTGTTATGGAAGAATGCCCTGTAATTTCATAATTAATAATATTATTATTTATTCATCGTCATCATCATCGCAGCCCGGAAGACGTCCACTGCTGGACATAGGCCTTCCCCAAAGATCTCCACGACGATCGGTTCTGCGCTGCTCACATCTAATGCCTTTCAGCGATCTTGACCAGATCGACGGTTGATCTTGCTGGAGGCCTTCCCACGCTGCGTCTTCCGGTCCGTGGTCGCTACTCGAGGACTTTACGACCCCACCGGCCATAGTATTATTACTATTGTGTAATTTTGTATGTTTTTTCAGCTGTTTTCTAGTAAACACTGCGGATAGAGTGATCAGAGTATATGACACTAAAACGGTCCTCAAGGGTGGTATGAATGGAGATCCTGAGCCAATACAGAAGCTACAAGATCTTGTCAATAAGTAAGTTATTAGCTCTGTCTATCCATCAGTCTCGGCGTTTTATTTCATATAATATTACTTGTGCCCGCGGTTTCACCTACATGAAGTTTGTAGCCTATGTCTTATTCTTATGTATAAGCACTATTACTGTAAAGTTTCATCAAAATCCGTCCAAAAATAATGTAAATAAAGCGGCTTAAAAAATGCAATTGTGTTTCTTGCCAGTTCTTCTCAATTTATTACTAAACTGGATGGTAGGACAAAAATATTAACTACCAAAATCGTGACGTTCATGAGCGACTAAAATGTCCTATATGAATACGTGATTATTGTATTTGAATATATATTTTTTGCCATTGTCTTCCAATGTTAAAATAATTAAAATAGTTCATGAATATTAAAAATAATGTGACCAAGGCTGATCTTATCTCTGGAAGAGATCTTCCATATAACTAGTCGAGATAAGAATATACTGTATTCACCAGAACAACGTGGAAGAAGTGCTGCTTCTCCGGCGACGGGGAGTACATCTGTGCGGGGTCGGCGCGCCAGCACGCGCTCTACATCTGGGAGAAGTCCATCGGGAACATCGTCAAGATCCTCCACGGCACCAAGGGCGAGCTGCTGCTGGACGTCGTCTGGCATCCCATCAGGCCCATCATCGCCAGCATCAGTGCCGGTACATATTCACTACTACATAATACCTGTCTACCTTCCTAATTGGTGTAGTGAAAAACAAGCTTGCAAGACGAATACTACTTTATTGACAACTAGCTACTCGCCCTGGCTTCGCACGGGTGTACACGTATTATATATATAAACCTTACTCTTGAATCACTCTATCTATTAAAAAACCGAAAAAGCTGAGAGAGTGAGACGATAGAGAGAAGAATAATAATAAAATATTTGTATGATGCAGGAGTGGTGTCGATATGGGCGCAGAACCAAGTGGAGAACTGGTCGGCGTTCGCGCCCGATTTCAAGGAGCTCGACGAGAACGTGGAGTACGAGGAGAGAGAGAGCGAGTTCGACGCAGACGACGAGGACCGCTCCGTAGACCTCGCGGGAGACGCGCACCACGACGAGGAGGTGGAGGTGAGGACACCCACGTCTACACACTACAGTCCAGGGTCCAGGGTCAAGAGTCATGCTCACTTGAATTAACTCGAGTTGTGGTGAATTCGAGTTAACTCGAGTTGAATTCTGCCAACTCGAGGTGGAAGTATTCAACTGGAAATGAAGGAATCAAATGAAAAAGCGAGAGCATGAGTCTGTCGTTGAACCGACAATGACATGAAAATTTACGATCGTTTCATATCATAAAATTTTCACTCGTCACAAATGTTTCAATATTGATTTGAGGTCGTTATCATTTATTTTTTCGCATATTCGTCCGATTATGTTATCATTAAAATGATTATGCGTTCTATAAGTCCTTCCGCGGCCTTGATTATTTTGTTTTTCTGTTCGAAAAATAAAAAATAAAAACAAAAACAAACTGTTTATTTTATTTAATTTTAACTTTATGTTTATTACGAGTAATCTCTAAATGCACGATTGATCGCAACAAAGAGTGATATCATCATAAATGTTCTCTTTTTTTTCTGTTTATATTATTTAATTATTATGTAATCAACAATTGATCTAGTATGTTTTATACTAAATCAAACTAAAATATCTTAATTCGTCTGATTGTCAAATCTAGTCTACTCACTAATCTGTAATAGTTAAATATTTATTTGGAAATTCTTTTGTGGACTCCCGCGATACTGGTTTGCCTAGTGCGGGCTCCGATGTATAATCAACTTTATAATATTTGTAGGTTTGAAAATGAATAAATAAATAAATAAAAATAAAGACACATTCGTCTTTATAATGACATCACGTTTTGTTGCGAACAACACATATTTATAGTTCACGCAATACAATAGAAGGAGGAATCGTTCGACATGATGCCTACGGCCAGCTTTTACCACCGCACCGCTCGACATCGTCAGGAATTCATCGCCACACGATAGAAGTTAAATGGTCTTGGACAGTGCGGTTTCAGAGGAGCTTCGTCCCGCGTACACTTAGATTGTGGAATGAACTACTTGCCGAGGTTTTCTCACGAGACTACAGCATGGGGTTTTTCAAGGGTATATTAAGGTTTCTTATGGGATGGCAACGCGCACTTGTCACCCCTAGTGTCTGAAGCGTCCGTAGGCTACCATAGGTAGTATAAATAAAGTAACAGGATTCACATTCCAGCATGTATCTGATTCTCAGGTGGACGTCACAACATGTGAAGCTGTGGCAGCATTTTGCAGTTCCGACGAAGAAGGCGAAGATGAAAATGTGCTATCGTTCCTGCCAATTGCGCCAGAGATCGAAGATCCCGAGGTAACAAATAAATCTCCGCCTTAAATTGCTTACAGGAAAGAAAAATACAACAGAAAACGCGTCGTAGTGAAAATGTTACAAGCAAGTGGAGGAGTACAACGTTACCGTCGTTTCTTAGTTTAATTTCGTTAGTATTTTTTTCATCATGGATGATAATGATAATGCACCCGCCTGTGCTAACAGTTTACGCTGGCAGAGCGCCAGTGGAGGGTGATAAGATGAACATGAGGTCAGGTCAGTTAGCCCAACGTGACAAATTCACCAAGAATTTATCACGATGGTTTCTAGGGGGAACTGCGTGGAAGTTAACCTGACATGGTACATTGCTAGCAATTAGATCATCAGTTCACATTATTAACAATCCCCTTCCCCCCCTAATTTCGTTAGTTAGTCGATAAACATACATAGTGTTTGGTTTCAATCGAATTCGATCTCAAAATGCGTTTTTTTTTCCTACCAAAGGTAAGGTAATAGTTGATAAAAGAAACGACGTGCAAGAGGCTGAAAGGTCACATATGAATAAATGATTTTGACTTTGATGTCTGTACGTCGGCGTACACTACATGTACTATATACATATGTATGTGATGGCCTAGGTGGTCTCGGTTTAGCACACCGCTTTACGATGGTCGCGAGTTCGATTCCTCGCACGGTCTAAATATTTGTATTCATTTGTATGATTGTTTGTATCGATCTGGGTTTATTCTATGTATATTTTGTATGTATTTACAAAAATAATCTATTTATATCAGTTGTCTAGTACCCATAACACAAGCTCTGCTTACCGTGGGACTAGATAGCGCTGTGTTAATTGTTCAGGGTTATTTATTTATTTACATGTAATACTGTAGAATAACTACGAAAGGGCTCTCCCTGTGGCCCCAATTTGTAGCCTCTTAGAGAGATTACCCGGTTCATTCATAGACTAATGAAAATACTTCTTCGGTGTTTGAAGCAAGTAAAAATATATATAATAATGACTTACAGGACGGTTGGGCAGCGACACAAGAGACCGTGACGCCAACTGAAACCCCTGAAAAACTGGAGCCGGCGGCCAAGAGGCCAAAGTGCAAAACATATGACATCTCGTTGAAAATAGCGCCACCTGGTGAGTATAATGTGTACTGTTACCATATATTTAAACGATAAGTTTCAGAGTTAATGCAATGTACAGTAGGCTTAACACGATGTATACGTTCCAATAAGTTCCAGCGCTAAACGAAGCACTGTTAAGCTTGGTTTTACGGTATTACCAAAATGTGCAAGTGTCAATAACTAGCTACTCGCCCCGGCTTCGCACGGGTGTCCATGTATTATATATATAAACCTTCCTTTTGAATCACTCCATCTATTAAAAAGAACTGATTCAAAATCCGTTGCGTAGTTGTAAAGATTTAAGCATACATAGAGACGTACAGACAGCGACAGCGACTTTGTTTTATACTATGTAATGATTGTAACTCTTTCTTTCGTTTCTTGAACTATTTTCTCGACGTCTTTCCATTATGTACATATTTGGAAACCTAGCGCGGAGCACAATTTCGGGGATTCTCCGGCTTGAAATAAAGGAGCGCTAAATCGAAACAGTTTTAATCGGGGACTTACTGTATGAATGTTTTAATATGATAGGTATATAAATGAACAATACTAAATTATATATGTAAATAAATAAGATTTATTTTATTTTCCAGAACAACCACTATCATTTGGAGGCAAGAATAAACAAACAGCTGGTAGCAAGAAAGTCGCTGGGAGACCTCGTAAATAAATTTATATTGTATAACAAATTTCTTTTATTTTTATTCATTTAAAATGCAAATAAGCTAACGGCACGTCTGACGTGATAACCGTACCTAGATATCTATATATTAATACGTGAAGTTAAAATGTTGTACCTCTTTTTAAGAGAATTTCGCGGACGGAGGTGTATGAAATTTCGCACAATTGTGGTTTCGATGTGGGAGTACAGAATATTTGGGATGGATCCGCTCAGTACCAACTTCACGCTCTATACTCAATCGACAGACGGTTGTGGCTAAGAGGCTATAAAGTCCTAATCATCGATGTGAATGTGAATGAGCTCGGGAACTCCACAACCTCATTCCTCCAGCACCGTTCCATCAACGTACAAGACGTAGAGCGAGCTATGGAGTGGAACTCTCTACCAGCGTCTATTTTTCCTGCCTCTTACAACATTGGGTCTTTCAAGTTAAGAGTAAATAGGCACTATTAGAGCTTGCGTGTAACTGTTTAGACTGCATCATCACTTAACATCGGGTGAGATTGCGGTCAAACGCGCACAAATTTTAATATAGAAAAATAAACGTGAAGCAATAACTTTGTACCCTTTTTAAGAAAATTTCACGAACGTATGAAATTTCGCACAATTGTGGTTTCGATGGAGGAGTACAGAATATTTGGGATGGATCCGCTCAGTACCAACTTGACGCTTTGACTCAATCGACAGACGAGCTAGGAGACTTATTGGGGACGAATCACTTGTGGCTAAGAGACTTTAAAGTCCAAATCATCGACGTTAAGTGGCTTGTCTATCTGTGTTGTATAGGCTCCATTTTGGCGAATGTGCTCGGGAACTCCACAACCTCATTCCTCCAGCACCGTTCCATCACTGTACAACAAGACGCAGAGCGGCTCCACCCATACACTGTTGACATTCCTAACGCACGGCACAAATATTTGTATTCATTAGTATGATTGTATCGGTCTGGGTGTTTTCTCTGTATACTATGTATGTATTTACAAAAAATATATATATATCTACGTATTTGTATCAGTTGTCTAGTACTCATAATACAAGCTCTGCTTACCGTGGGACTAGATGGCGCTGTGTAAATTTTTCAAGCTTATTTATTTATTTAAATTTTGTGACTTTGTCAATTTCAAATCAAACGAAATTACGTTTTAGAAGAAAACATTTATTCTGCAAAAAGAAATCATATATTTCATTAATCTTTTTAATAAAATTCGTATTTAGAGTATACAGTAAGTACTTATAATTTGTATTGTATATAAATAAATCTCACTTAAACAAAACCAAAAATAATAATACATCATTTTTTATTCGAGACCAAAAAGACTCATATATGTCGTTACATCTCTAAATTTATTATAATATCATACATAGGGTACAAACTACGCGGAGGCGGATACTCGCCGTCGTATAAATAGAATTATCTATTGTATCTTATGTACAAGTCCGGCCGGGTCCGGTCCGGTCCGGGTCCGGTCCGGTCCGGTCCGGGTCCGGTCCGGTCCTACGCGTCCATGTCGTCCTCGTGCTGGCTGGAGAAGTAGCTGACGAGTCCGCCGAACACGCCGCCTTCCTCGCCCACTTCCCGCTTTATAATACTGTGGTCGAGCCGCGGAGGGGAATCTTCTTTATGTACAGTCTCCGGCGGCTTGGGGTACGGTGCGGGCTCCGGGGGCGCCCTGGGTCCCCCGGGGGGCTCCGGGGGTCCCGGGGGCCCCGGGGACTGCGCGGCGGGCGCCTGCAGCTCCGGGGTCTGGATGCGGAGCCCGGGGCTGTCAGCCGGCGGCGACGGGGCGGGCTCCGCAGTCGGGGCGCGCGGTACAGCTGTACACAGTAACAAGAAATATAAATATAATATTACGTTGCTCATTTTGATACTGTTGATATGAATTTGAGTTTATATTACGCCTAATCATTGCTAATACATATTTACTTACACTAACATTTATATTAAAAAGTAACACCTAAGTTTCTTTTGATGAGAATCCGAATTGATCCGAATGAGTGGTTGAATAAAAAAATGTGACTATTAAAAATGCTTACTAAGTATATTTGAACAAAGATTATTTCTATTTCTTTTAAAATAAATAAAATAGTGTTGAATATATGCACTATTTGTGGGGCGGGGGCGGGGGCGGGGCCGGGGGCGGGGTACGTACGGTCCGGCGGCGGCTCTGTGTCGGCGGGGGCGGGGCCGGGGGCGGGGTACGTACGGTCCGGCGGCGGCTCTGTGTCGGCGGGGGCGGGGCCGGGGGCGGGGTACGTACGGTCCGGCGGCGGCTCTGTGTCGGCGGGGGGGGGGGCGGGGGCGGGGGCGGTGTACGTACGTCCGGCGGCGGCTCCGGCGGGGGAGGGGGCGGCGGGGGCTCTCCGGCGGCGGCTCTGTGTCGGCGGGGGAGGGGGCGGGGGCGGGGGCGGTGTACGTACGGTCCGGCGGCGGCTCTGTGTCGGCGGGGGAGGGGGCGGGGGCGGGGGCGGTGTACGGTCCGGCGGCGGCTCTGTGTCGGCGGGGGGAGGGGGCGGGGGGGGGCGGTGTACGTACGGGGCGGCGGCTCTGTGTCGGCGGGGGAGGGGGCGGGGGCGGGGGCGGTGTACGTACGGTCCGGCGGCGGCTCTGTGTCGGCGGGGGAGGGGGGCGGGGGCGGGGGAGGTGTACGTACGGTCCGGCGGCGGCTCTGTCTCGGCGGGGGCGGGGGCGGGGGAGGTGTACGTACGGTCCGGCGGCGGCTCTGTCTCGGCGGGGGCGGGGGCGGGGGCGGGGGCGGGGGCGGGGGAGGTGTACGTACGGTCCGGCGGCGGCTCTGTCTCGGCGGGGGAGGGGGCGGGGGCGGGGGCGGTGGGGTCCGGCGGCGGCTCTGTGTCGGCGGGGGAGGGGGCGGGGGCGGGGGCGGTGTACGTACAATCCGGCGGCGGCTCTGTGTCGGCGGGGGCGGGGGCGGGGCGGGGGCGGTGTACGTACGGTCCGGCGGCGGCTCTGTCGGCGGGGGAGGGGGCGGGGGCGGGGGCGGTGTACGTACGGTCCGGCGGCGGCTCTGTGTCGGCGGGGGAGGGGGGCGGGGGCGGGGGCGGTGTACGTACGGTCCGGCGGCGGCTCTGTGTCGGCGGGGGAGGGGGCGGGGGCGGGGGCGGTGTACGTACGGTCCGGCGGCGGCTCTGTGTCGGCGGGGGAGGGGGCGGGGGCGGGGGCGGTGTACGGGTCCGGCGGCGGCTCTGTGTCGGCGGGGGCGGGGGCGGGGCCGGGGGCGGCGTACGTACAATCCGGCGGCGGCTCTGTCTCGGCGGGGGAGGGGGCGGGGCCGGGGGCGGTGTACGTACGGTCCGGCGGCGGCTCTGTCTCGGCGGGGGCGGGGGCGGGGGCGGGGGCGGGGGCGGGGGAGGTGTACGTACGGTCCGGCGGCGGCTCTGTCTCGGCGGGGGCGGGGGCGGGGGCGGGGGCGGGGGAGGTGTACGTACGGTCCGGCGGCGGCTCTGTCTCGGCGGGGGCGGGGGCGGGGGAGGGGTACGTACGGTCCGGCGGCGGCTCTGTCTCGGCGGGGGCGGGGCCGGGGGCGGGGTACGTACGGTCCGGCGGCGGCTCTGTGTCGGCGGGGGCGGGGCCGGGGGCGGGGTACGTACGGTCCGGCGGCGGCTCTGTGTCGGCGGGGGGCCCCGCGCGGGGCGGCGGGCGCGGCGCGGCGTAGGGCGGCCGCGGCGGGTACGGCGGCGCGTACCCCGCGGGGGAGGGGGCGGGGGCGGGGGGCGCGGGGGCGGGGGGGGCGCCCGGCGGAGGAGGCCGCGGCTGCAGGCTCACCAACCCACCCGGACCTGCATAGATTACATCATCACATTTAAATATAATACTTCCTAGTTTCAATACTGACGACTTGACAACGATTATACAGATTTTTTTATTAGACTGTTCAAAATCTACCCTGTACCATCGTAAGCACAGATTATTATATTAGAGTCCGTTAGTTTGTGTTCCCACGGTTTCTGTTCCCCTCCCTTACCTACAGTACTGAACTGACCGTACAGCGGCGTTGACGCGAGCGCGCATTGTGTTGTGAATTAAAATAAATTAGAACTGTGTTAAACCTACTGTGAAACTGGAATGCTAGCGAAGATACCTTCGAGACCCTGAAGCCCAAGAAATCCGCAAAACCATACAGGTACGTGACCGACGCTTCCACATATTTTTCCCTATATATATACATAGTACTTTCCCTAACATTTTGGTAGCAGAGAGTAAATTCCCTTACATAGACCAAAACCAAAGACGTGTGTATGTGACAATTTCCTCTGGATCGAAAACTTCAATAACAGTTACAATAGATGTATGTATATGACGTCTGATGAACGTCAACTATAACTTCGAGAATGGATCGAGGAGTAAAACCCTCCCAAACATTTCAATCTATTGTTATAATAATAAACCTCATATAAATTTAAAGTTCTTTACAATTGTCATAAAGAAAAATTACTTATAAGGTTATCTACTGCTCACTAGATGACATTAAACAAAGTATGGATAATTATATTAAATTATTCCTTTTAATAAGAGATATATTTTTTATAGAAATAGACCTTATGTAATACAGCATTAAGTCCATTCTAGTTACAAACTTAAGAAATTCTATTAACAGGTATTTAAGCATATACACAGGGCTACAGACGATTCGGCGCTATTTATTATGAATATCTCTACGAGTGCTCTATGATGAGGATTCAAGAAGACAACGTACCGTCGTGCTGGGGCGCGTAGGGCCCGTAGGGCGCATAGGGCGCGTAGGGCCCGAGCGGGAACCGCGGGCGGCGGTCCTTGTTGTCTGTGTGCTTGATCTTGGGGTGGTTCCGCGGCGGGGGCTCCTCGCGCGGCGACGCGGCGCGCGGGGACGCCGCCGGCGACCGGTACTCGGGCTCCGTCTTCACCTCCGCCTTGATCTGCACGCCGCCCTCCGGGGCGGGGCCCGGGGGGCCCAGCGTCGGCCCCGACGCCGGCCCCAGCGTCGGTCCTAACGCCGGCCCCGGTGCGGGTCCCGGGGCGGGCCCCAACGCCGGGGGGGGCCCCGCCGCGGGCCCCGGCGGCCCCGGGTACCCGCGGGGCCCGGGGTAGGCTGCGAGGGCTCGCATGTGGTAGTAGTGGGGCGGGTACTGGCGCGCGGGCCCGGGCCCCGCTGGTGCCCCGGGCCCCATGCCGGGATGCAGCGGGTACATGGCCACGTTCTGCGCGCGCGCTCCGTACGCCGCGTTGCCGCCCGGGTACATCATCGGTCCTCTGTAGAGAGACGTATTTACAACACTTATCAATCTCTGTGGGAATTTACAATATTTATAAATTCAATTCTTTATTTGCAAAAACATGGGTACAAATTAGTTATTATGATATGATATTCAGAACACCATATTTTTGACCTAGTATACATGAATTACAATATAAATTTCAACTAGCAATTACAAAGGAGAGGAGAATATTGTTTATTGATATGAAGATCCATTCAGATTTCCAACCCTCCCTCAAAACCATCTGAAGATTTTGTTACGATGGTTATGAGAGAGAATTTTATCACGATGAGTCAACTATAACTTTACTTCATTTTCATTCTACTATTATCACAGTCATATAACCTTTATATTATCTTAAAAAAAATACTTGTAAAGATCAAATAATTGCATCATTTTCACCTGTATTGTTGATTGATCATGTGCGGCATCCTGGTGATAATACTGGGCTCCTCTGTGATAGGTTTGAACGGCTGCGGTGAACCGGCTACCGATAACGTGCCTACATCACACAAAAGTGTTTCTAGATTAGTCATTAATATAATTTATACGGAATTTTAAAACTTCATATAGTACAAAAGCATTTAATATATTAGTGTGGTATGCTGTTCTTTAAGTTTCGTATGTAATATTCGGAGGTTTGGGTCAATTAATGCGAACACAGAGACGGAAGCGCATGGCAATAGTTATGTATCCACGGGATTTTAATTTAATGTTAGACATAGACAACTTTATAAGCAAAAAAGAAAATAACTGTCTCTTAAAAATAAAAAAAAATTCAGTTGAGTTTCTTGCCAGTTATTCTCAATTGATTAGTCTCTCTAAGTTGTTTGTAGTAGTCTTTCTAAGTTGTTGAGACAGGTTGATTTCTTTTTCTAATACTTAAAAAACAGGCTCGTTTTTTAAGTATTAGAAAAAGAAATAATCTTTATTTGAATAAACTTAATATAAGCACATTTGAATAGTCAAATTGTTTGATACTATCACTCATTTAGAACGTAGATTTCTAAAAATCATTATTATCGTTAACAAACTTTTTAATTGTTACTCATTAAAATAAATATTCTTATAAGTAAATTAACAAGGATTAGTAAAGCGACTATCAACATAGAAACCGCTATGCACTCAATCTTTATACTATCACATAATACTGTACATTTTGTGCGGTTACTGTACGAGTATAAAAACAGTGTGAGAGTTACCGTCACGTAGCGCAGCGCGGGGAGGAACGCCGGCGGCGTGGGGTCCGTGGGGCACGTGTGGGCCGGTGGGGGGCCCGTGCGGCCCGTGCGGGGCCCCGGGCGGTCCGTGCGGGGCCCCGGGCGGCCCGTGCGGGGCCCCGGGGGGCAGGTGTGGGCCCCCGGGCGGCCCGCGACGCCGCTCGTCGCCCACCAGGACGCCGCGAAGCTCCGCCCGCACCTATGACACATCACTCTTTCCATACACTTCCACGTAAAAGCGATTACATTCCACATCACACACGATAACCCCTACGTTTATTCAAATGAGGATTGAAATTACATCCAAAATATTTTAAATAATGTATTTATAGGTTGCTTTGAATGGGGTACAATAGTGTAGGTTAGGTGGTTTATTCATTAACAATCTTTTAAAATTATTTGTCACAACATTAAGACTGCGTTCTGGACATTAGCCAATTAATTAAATTAATTTGCCTATTTAATGCATAAATCGAATTCCCCCAACTGCGAAACATGCAATACCGTAAAAGATCTGCATCACATATTAATGGAGTGTGTCAGAGAGGCACTTAAAAGGGAATTGTATGTAAAAATAATTTGGACTTAATCGGCTTGATGTTGGTATGTACCACGGCATATTATCTGATTCTGTATCATCGCCAGCAAAATTTTTGTTTTCGTTGTATAGTAATAAGATACGATGGGACTGTCATGATCATAATATAATAAAAGTTCCTAAATAAATAAATAATAAAATATAACTAATAATAAAAAAAAATCTATCTATTGTATTATCAAATAGTTTGTACACACAAAAAATCGTACCTGCAACCTGGGCTGCGTGGGGAACCTTTGGTCCTGGTAGTCCCCGGGATGTCGGACCTGCATCGGCGAGTTGCCATACATGTTCATCCTCTGCATCTCGGGGCCGGACGCTCGTATCGGCATGCCGTAACCTATGGGCCCGGACAGCGGATACTCCGGCTTCTCTTTTTTCATTCTCTTACTCTCCTGTAACGCTATTTTCGCGAGCTTTTTCTCTTCCCTTTCCTTTGCTTTCTGTTCTTTTAACTTCTCCTTCTCTTCTTTCTTCTGTAGACGTTCTATTTTGCGAGCCTCTTTCTCGGCCTGTTTCGCTTCGCGTTCCTGTCGTTTTCTTTCACGTTCCGCCTAATAATTGAATTGTACATTAATTGCAAATAATACATTTAAGAAATGTCATGTTTACTAACATTATAGCCTTATATAAATTGCGTAAAAGTATATAGCAAAATATAGACTTGTCATTGTCAACAAATAAATTTTTTTTATATTATATCACTCTTTTATCTTTCTCAATTACAACTCAAATGTAACGTTATTTTTGTTTAAATTATGATTAAATATTTAAAAATATATATAATATTATAAAAAGTAATATTTACTTGATTAGGCCGTAGCACCGTAGCATCTGTTCTCAGATCTGGAAATAAAAAGGTATACACAACAATTAGAGCTGACATATTATAATTTTAATATAGAGTAAAAGATTATTTTGCCATCTATTTTATTTTCAATGTTCGTCACTTCTATTCTTCGTTCTAAGAGTTTATTGATAGTATGTAGATGTTACCTATACACTTGACGTTGAGATAAGTATGTCTATTTGCATGGGATAAGGTTGAATTTCGCGTAATGTTTTGATGAAGGAAACACATGTCTGCTCAGGAATGAATTCATTTAGAAGTAATATGCCGCTTAGCAAATGCTTTAAGTCGTTTTATGAAATATATATATAGGTTTTAGCTAGAGGCATTCCTTACAGGCGATATAATCATTTTTAATTGTGTAAAATATAAGAATAATAATATCTAATCTCAAGCTAATTAGAGTGTGGAGATGGATACATTTTTTTTTTGTAAATACATATTTAATCCACATAGAAAATATCTAGACCAATACAAGCAATCATACTCATGAATATAAATGTTTGTACCGTGCGAGGAATTTTACCCTATGGGAAATAAGGCGGTACGGTAAACCGCTACAGCGCAGACTTCATACGAGCTAACAGGAGTGTGACCTTTGATCTTGACGCCGACGAGCTTGGCGAGCGCGTCGTCGGGCGCGGGCCCCGCGTCGTGTGCGGGCCCCGGGTGCTGCGGGGGCCCCGGGTGCCCCGCGTGCCCCGCGTGCCCCGTGGAGTGCCCCGCGTGTCCGGGCCCGCCGCGCGCCCCACGCGCCCCACGCGAGCCCCGCCCGCCGCGGCCACGTCCGGAAGCGCCGCGTCTCGCTGCAGCCGCCGCCGCCGCCGCCGCCGCCGCAGCAGCCTCCTGTTGCGCGTCTGTACGTACACACCACATATTATACACGGATACTTCAACCAATGCTTATATTACATGTTAATAAAAGTGCTTAAATTAAGTTTATTTGAATAAATGATTTTCTATTCTATTCTATTCTATTCTAATATAGCTAGATGTATGTGTGTATATAGGATCTAGGTACGAGTATGTCAAAACATTCTCTAAGAAATGAAGTCGTTCTAAAATGTGGTGCAACTAACTTGTTAATTGCATTCCAGAACTGATTCTCTTATATAGATTTCGTCATGTGATTGAAATGGCAACAAGACATACACTTTATGATATGTTTATATGATACATATATGAATAACATCATATACTCCACGTCATTATATCACATGCTTAGTGCAATACAGAATTAATTCAAAAACAGATTTACGACTGAAATATATCAGAATTGTTTTGCCATATACTTTAAAATCATTATTAAAAAATAGGGATTGATGATGGAAGGGTGAAAATTTAGAGTCGTATGTGTTTTTTAATGTCACATTAAAAAAATATTCAATTGCCAAAAAAAATAATATTAAATGTTACGGGTGGACTACCCTTATCACTTACAAGTATGAAAAATAGACAGTATCGATCTACTGAATATGCATATAAAACTTCATCAAACCATTTCGGAGGAGTATTGTAACTAAAATTGTCACACGAGAATTGTATATATAAAATAAATGTAAACATACTGAGATGCGCCTGCAGCTCCTCGGTCTTGGCCTTGGTGACGTCCTCTGGCAGCTTCTCGAGCGGGACCACGGCCGTCTTGATGAGGTCCGTGAGCGCCTTGCGGCGGTCGGCCTCGTCCGACAGCGGCCCGGCCCCGGCCCCGCCCCCGTCCCCGGCCCCGCCCCCGGGCTCGCCCTCCGGCCCGGCCCCAGGCCCGGCCCCGGCCCGCTCCGAGCCCGAGTCCGAGCTCAGCTCCGAATCCTCCAGCTTGAACTCATCCGAGCTGTCCGGCATGTGCTTACCGCTCGACTTGTGCATCTCCTGTCCACCATCAATATATTACTTAATGGATTGGATTGAGTTTGACGATTGTCAATCTATATATATTACATGCTGTGCTCGCGATTTCACACGCATAAATTTTATTGCCTACGTGTTATTCTGATGTATAAGTCTACTGTACAGTTTCTTTAAAATCCTTTCAGTAGATTTCCATGAAAGAGTAACAAACATCCATCTGTCCATCCATACTCACAAACTCTCGCATTTATAATATTATATGAAAATAAAGTGCCCTGCTTGTATATTCGATAATCTACAGACTAAAAAACTACGGACGGGATTGTTCATATCAGTTTGTTTGCCATTCCAAGTTCAGTCGTTAGGTCAGTCATGGCTGAGCTCGCCCTTATCGTTCCTACGAGACAGAACAACCGATACTAACGTCCTCTGACTCCGTGTTGGGCATCTCCGTGTAGTTGATCTTGCGCTGGCGCGTGCGGTGCTTGGGCGACCAGTCGTTGGGTCCGTCGTCGCTGAGTCCTCCGTAGGTGACCCGCGCTCGGATCACGTTCCCGTCCGCGTCGTACTGCGTCAGTCCGCCACTCTTGCGTTTGCGTCTACGTTTGGATTTGTCCCGGTTCTTTGGCGGGCGAGGTTTCGGTCTGGAATGTCTAAGAACAAAATATAATTTTTAAAAAATTATGCAACAAATATTAACTTAATATATAAAAATTTTAAGCAAAAACTTTGTATCCCTTTTTAAGGAAATTGCAGAGATGGTGAAGTTTAAAACTTCCCACAGTTATAGTTTATATAGTAAAGGAGTTCATTATCATATTTTTTTTAAATTAAGCATTAAAATGCCTTATATCATTAAAAAAAAATTACATACTTTACCATGTATTTGACACACAGGCGCATATACGAGTATACTGTTTTGTTTATTATTAAAGTCTATGGTCAAATTGAAAATAGATTAATATGGTTTGTCGTTATTATTATTAGCCTAGTCTTACAGAATATTAAATTAATTATGGTTGAATTTCGACCACAGGGCGACCACCACTAGTATAAATAATTCTAAATGGTATTTTTATTAATTATACCGACATATATAGAATTCAGATTCAAACAATAAGAGATTGCTAGAAATTGACTCATTTTGAAACAACTATACCAATATTATAAGATAAAGTTGAAAAGTTTGTTTGAACGCGCGGGAATATGGGACGCAAGAAGTTTCACTGATCAGCTAATATTTTATTTATTTATTTAATATTTTATACAACTCTACCTACCAATACAGTTTCTTGTTAGTTATCAACTGAAGTTAACCAAACCTAACGGTTGGATTAGGGATAAAAAATATAAATTGCACAAGAGGTCAAAAGGCTCTATGTGTCTATAAATTATTTTGACCTTTTTATTTTACATGAGTATACTTTAAAGATTCTGTGTAAATAATATAAAAAATATGAAAAACTTAAATATTAAAAAAGCCACTTGGCGTTAAATGTTTACAAATATTAATTTTGGATTGTAGCAATAACATGAGAAAAAAAGGGCACAATACTTAATAATATACTTTGTATTTTAACAACCTTATTTATAAAAACTCCAAGTAACTTATAATAAAGATATTTTATCCAATCAGTTGCTTTTTCATTTTCTTTCAAGCTATTTTGTTCATTAGAAAATCAATTACCACATGCTACGATAGTTAAAATGTATGGTTTTCCCGATTTGATTTCAGTTTACGTGAACATTAAACGTTGTCAAAAAAAATTTTAATATCTTTGAATTGCTATTAAAAGTGTTTTTAACGAACCGATTCTTTGATCTACGGTAAGTTTCATATAAAACTATCACAAAATTTTAGGTAATTAATGTTAAAATGTATTTAGAAACTTCACAAGAAATATATGGCGTAGCACTTATTTACAACTCATGTCATAACAAATTAACTATTTAATTAAATTAATTATTTTTCACAATTCACAGAAAATACACTTATGTCAATGTAGCTTAAAAATTAAAAGTAAATATTTCGGTTAAACTATATTTATATATGTATTCACAACAATATGTCAAAATTCCAAATATTTTTTTAACTTTTTTTTAAAGTAATGGATAGACAAAGGGTTACAGCGAATATGCTTTGTTTTACAATATCCATAAACATATAACGAAGGTCGTACGCGCGAATTGAGCAGTCGTTCTATTTTTGAAATTGGAACGTTTACAGATTGAATTATCGAAAAAGTTATATGTCAATAACTAATAAAAAAAATACTCTGTATTATAGACTAGACCAACGTGCCAAACCGTTACAAAGAAAAAAAAAGTTATAACAATATTAACGCAAAATTCATAAAAAACATAAATCACTAATAGAGTATGAGCTTGCGATTGCTTTGGGCAATAAGGGAGTCTTTCGTTGAGCACATTCTTACAAATTTGTATTTATTTTTAGTGTACAATCTTAGTAATGTTATTATTTGAATGGAACAAAATAAATCACAATTTAACAAACCAAACACCATTATTGTTTATACCTGGAATATTTCCGGAGAACAAGTTGGGCGCGGTCTGGGCCGATGGAGTTATAACAAGAAAATATTCTACCCACATTTTAATTTAGAAAATGTGTTTAGTATTTGTTAACCCTCGATTTATATTTATGAATATTTTTACCCATATGTCAGTAAAAGATTCTTAATGAAAATGTATTAATTTTCATTAATATTAATACATTTTCATTAAGATATATAGTAAGTTTAGGTTCCACAATTATCACAGCAAAAATGAATATGATCTTATTTCTAATAGCGGCTAGTATTATTTTTTTAAATTAAAATGCTTATTTTTCAATATTGTAATAATATAAATAATGTAATAATTTGATTAAAATTTGTCTATTTGTTGTTTTGCGAATTTATTGATCTATTTATATACGACACATTCTTTTCCATTTATTCTGAATCTCTTTAAAATTATATTTTTTACTAAATACATACCTGGCAATATCAGAAACACCTCAATGCCATACATTGTATGACACACATGCAATACATTGTGTGACACAGACGACCAAATGTATTAGAATAGAATAGAATAGAATCTAAATACATTCATGAATATTTAACTCTCTTTGGTACATTGTTAGCAATGGGGTCATCAATCCACATTAGAAACTTTCCGCCGGTATATTAAGGTTTGTTACGGGACGGCAACGAGTAATTAATACCTTTTTTTTTTATTTAGGATCACCAGCAGCAGGGGGTTCTTCCGCAGTCCCCTTTGGGCTGCCTGGTACGGGCTCGAGCATAAGCTCATTACCCGGGCATACTGCTGGGGTGGACCACCTCAGCGTCGTTCGTTTACGCCGTTAGTCGGCGAGGCCGGCTAACGGCTAATGTAACCGGCTGAGGCAGTGGTGTGGCATGTAGGGGAAATTAGTGTAGCTCGCCGGGCCGACTTTGTACGCCGCCCTACAGCGAATGACGTGTTTCCACGATGGAGAGAAGGTCGCGAGTTGCGTCCGGTGGGCGCGCGTGGAGTGAGGCGAGTCCACGAAGGTGTGCTTCGCGTCAATCGGGCGACAAATTGCTCCCTATTATTAATTTAGGATCACCAACAATTGTTACAATCATAAAACCAATAGGCGTAACGGCTACGACAACCGACCCCCCCTTCCAGAGGGTAAAGGGGATTGTTAGTAATGTGGATTGATGATCTTATTGCTAGCAATGTACCATGTCAGGTTGACCTTGTGGTTCCCCCTGGAAAGCATCTGTAATAAATTCTTGATGAATTTGTCACAATGGGCTAACTGACATGACCTCATGTTCATCTTATCATCCTCCACTGGTGCTCCGTCAGCGTAAACTGATATCGCAGGCGGGTGCACCATTCCATTATCATCCATAAACCAGAATCCCTCTTCTCGCCTATAGGCGACGTTACCACTTACCATCAAGCGGACCGCCGGCTAATATGCCATCCAGCTTCATAAAAAATAACACTTACTTGGGCTTGCTGGGTTTGTTGGTTAAAATCCAAACTAATCAATTAGACGATGTAAATTGTGCTATGTCTGCTATATTAAATTGGTCCCGCCAGACTGTATAAAATTTACACTTCCTAATGTAAGACTCGAGGTGTCGTCAAAAACTTTCTTCTTCTTCTTCACCTCTGGAGAAGATTCTGTCATTTTTGCACGCTCTGCAACCATTTTTTATTTGTTTATTTAATTCACTATGTTAATAACCCATATAAATACCCTATAGAACATATATATGGAATAATAATATAAATTGTCTGTGTGGTTACAGCAGAGAGATATTAAACAATTTTTGTGTAAGAAAGCTATTACAGGATAGACGAATTCATAGACGACAACATATCAAGTAAATAATTAGTTTATTAGCATACAACGTTATAATTTAATTTTCTCATTGCTTTCTTGATTTAATTGATTGATTTTAGAAATATGAAAGCGTAGCGGTTTTTGTATTGATTGCCGCATGCATTCTTATGTAAAATGTGAATACTATAACTATCAGATAGCAATTGTAAGTAGCTTTGACGTAGTCTATAGTAGTCATGCTCATAAAATGTCTATCAGCGCAGTGATATCCGCAATTGTAACTGGTCTGCTCTAATCACTATGACTGATTTCCTCTTATTAATTGTTTAACCAGTTGGTTATATATTCAATATTTTTTCTATTGAGTATTTAATTTTTTTTTAAATATATTTGGCTCTTCCCCACTATGACTGATTTCCTCTTATTAATTGTTTAACCAGTTGGTTATATATTCAATATTTTTTCTATTTGAGTATTTAATTGAATTAGTGCTAATTGGTGGTTTGTATTCACACACTTAAACTTAAAAATATAAAGATAATAAAATTACTGACCAAGAGCAACACGCAAGTTTCTTGCTCGTTCTTCTTGTGATGTGACTGACTATTCAAAAGTGCTTCAATGTAAGTTTATTTGAATAAATGATTTTCTATTCTATTCTATTCTATTCTATTCTATTCTAATAATATAAATTGTCTGTGTGGTTACAGCATGGACTCCTCTTCCCCACTGTACTGTAGCATTACTGTACGTGCATTAGCTCCCCGCGCGCACAATAATTATTGAAGGATAAAAGCAGAATTGTCGTATTTTGAAAAACCCAGCTTCTTCAACAAAAAAGCTTTTATTTTAAAAATCCATATCTCAATATATATATGAGTCCGGGATTGTTGAAACCGGTTTTTCGCTTCAGTGTATCGTTGGATCTTTCAAGTTACTATAATTCCGCTTTCCATATAAAATGTGCAAACTGCGGCAAACTGTAAGTGCGAGGTAACATTACGAATCACCATTACCAACTTTAAATGATTAAAACGAGAGTACGTTGTGAGTGTGGTACCTTTCTTATCAGTTCTGCCCGTTCGTCGTATAGGTAAGGAGTCAGTTGATCCGGAATCACTGGAGCTGTCCCGCTCAGCGGACGATGATATGTCCTCTGACGACGACTCCATACTGTGACAATAAACAAGATATATATTATTGACGGTCTCTGTAGTCTAGCGGTGTAGCACACCGGTTTACTTCCGAACGTCGCGGGTTCGATTCCTCGCACGATACCACCATTTGTATTCATGTGTGTCATTGTTTGTATCGGTCTGGGTGTTTTCTATGTATATAACTGATACAGTTATCTAGTACCGGTAACACAAGCTTTAGCTAGCTTGACTTGGGTCTAGATGGCGTTGTGTGAATTGTCATGAGATTATAAAAGAATTATGTATGTATTTACAAAAAAATCTAAGTATGTATTATATCAGTTGCTTAGTACCTATAACAGCTCTGCTTACTGTGCGACTAGATGGCGTTGTGTTAATTGTGCAGAGTTATTATTACTATTATTTTGCTATATACTTGTTAGTATTCACCCTTTGGGACGATATAAACCACCAATATTAAAAAATACTTAGATATAGTTTATGTAAATCTAAATATATATAACTCAAAGGTGACTGACAGTGATCTATCAACGCACAGCTCAAACCACTGGATGGATGGGGCTGAAATTCGGCATGCAGGTAGATGTTATGACGTAAGCATCCGCTAAGAAAGGATTTTGATTAATTCCACCCCCAAGGGGATAAAATAGGGGATGAAACTGTCAATTTTGAACCGATCGAGCTGAGACTTTGCATGCATAACGCTACTATGACGTAGGCATCCCCATAGAAAGGATTTTAATAAATTCCACCCCTATGGGGATAAATTAACGCGAGCGAAGCCGCGGGTCAAAGCTAGTACATACATATTAGACTGTTTTAAACTTGACGCGGTCATTATTTATACGTATAATTAGTAAAAATCACGGGATCTTACCACGTTTTATATTTATTTATAAACAGTTTACCCGTGATCATGGTGGTTGAAACACTACCGAAATATCGGGAACTCAGCAAATAAATATAAAACGTGGTAAGATCCCGTGATTTTTACTAATTATACGTATACATATTATACATAGAAAGCACCCAGACCGATACAAACAACCATACTCATTAATACAAATATTTGTACCGTGCGAGGAATCAAAAGGAGAAAAATGCCTATAGATGTATTTACCCGGTGTCCTTGAAATCTTCGTCGGTCTCGTCGTCGTCCTCTGAAGGCACTTCGAGCGAGTTCAGTTTGCGCGGCTTTCGTCGTGTCTTTTTACGCAATTTCTTCACTTCAACCGGCTTACCCTGCAATTAGGAAAGGGATTGATAGTAATGTGGTCTAATTATCCCATTGCTAGCAAAGTACCATGGTTAACCTCCATACGGTTCCGCCTGGAAACTTTCGTGCTAAATTCCTGGTGAATTTGCCACGATGGGTTAAATGATCTGACTTCATGCCCATCTTAGCATCGTCTACTGGTAAACTGTCAGTACAGACGGGAACACCTTTCGATTAAATAATAATAATAATAAAAACCTTTCGATTACCATCCATTAAATAAAGTACTGCAATTATGAGGTTTACTTTAGTAGGTTAACTAACAAACAAAATAAATTTTAAGAATATACATTATTTAGCTTATAAAAAAAATTAAATCTGAAAGTTTGAATTTAATTTTCTAGGCTATGATTGAATATAAATGAAGAAAAAGGTCGTAAAATAAAATAGGGGACGAAACTTTGTATGGAAAATCGTAATTTTTGAAGCTATTGTAGAATAATGAAACTTTTTTCTTTGCCTTTTTCGGGTTAAAGTTTTTTTATATTTTTCTTTATTTGATCAATTGCAGTATAAAATTCGGACGAAGTCGCAGGGACAGGTAGTTAAGAATAAAGTTACGATTTTTAAATATAAATAGCGAATTATATCACCAAATAAAAATGTACCTGTTCAATAGCTTCCCTCTCTGCCTTCAGTTTCTCCTCTTCGGCCGCCTCGATAATCGTTGATATGTCTTTGCCTCGCCCCTGATTACCCGCACTTGTCGTGGGTTCCACATATTCTTCCTGTAAATAATAAATATTCATTAACATCGTGGTTCCTAAACTTTAAAGATAACGGAACATTAACCAAATACCTTTAATAATTTGGAACCTCAATTAAAATTATTATAAAGACACTAAAATTTATATACGAACATTTAAAAAAAAATGTATTACACATTTTTTTTAAGTAAAGTAAAACATAGTAAACTAAAGTTAAAACATAGTACTAAAGTTTTAATTTGAAAATTGAATTTGTTTTACTGCTTTATGAATTAATTTGAATATTGTCTGTAAATATATATATATATATATATGTCTATCTCACCTATTTCAGTAGTCAAGAAATAGATGTAATTTCGATATATATATTTGGCTTTGTTTTCCGCATTTAGCCTAAAATGTAGAGCCCAACTTACTAGAGTAGTCAGGCAGGGTCCTCAGCGTAGAAGCAACATATTTGTTCTAAGGATAAGTATGATCTTGGAGTGAGAATTCGGTGGCATATGTGAGTATATATATATTTTTTTATTGAAGCTATTATCAGATGCTAAGAGCTGTGGTACTGCGACCTACATAGATCTATTATGCTCGCCCTTTTTCAAAGTTTGCTACATAGACCCGTTGGGGACAAGAATTGAAGGATATTCTTAGAAGCGATGGTTTTTATCTCAGGATAGTGTATGCTTTACAAAGGAGATATTTCGTTTATGCATGACTGGGTTACAACTACATAGGATGTGTAGTGGCGTTTTCTCTTCAGGTTCGCAAAATCTGCAGAAAATATGTGAGTGAGAGGAGACGGTGGTACCTTGATGGCCGAGCTGATGAGGCGGTCGTACTCCTGCGCGTGGTAGCTGACGGGCAGCTGCCGTCGAGTGAGAACTCTGTGGGATGTGAGTGAGTAAGAGAAACGGAAATGTTGGTACCTTGATGGCTGAGCTGATGAGGCGGTCGTACTCCTGCGCGTGGTAGCTGACGGGCAGCTGCCGTCAAGTGAGAACTCTGTGGGATGTGAGTGACTAAGAGAGACGGAAATGGTGGTACCTTGATGGCCGAGCTGATGAGGCGGTCGTACTCCTGCGCGTGGTAGCTGACGGGCAGCTGCCGTCGAGCCCGCAGTCTGTACACCGCCTCCTCCTCCTCCTCCGAAGATGACGACCACGAACTACTGCTCGCTTCTGTCAATATCGATATAAACATTCATTTGTGTTGCTTAATTTACCGCAACGATGCTCGCGGGTTCAATTATTCACAGTACAAACATTTGTATTTATAAGTATGACTATTTGTCTGATACAAACAGCCATACTTATGAATGATACATTCTGGGTGTTTTCTATGTAAATACATACAAAAAAAGAATATAGAAGTATTTATAACAGTTGTCTTAGCACCCATAACATAAGCTCTGCTTATGGCACTGTGTTAATTATCCAGGGTTATTTATGTATTTATATTTATTTGTATTCATGAGTATAATTGTTTGTATTGTCCTGCGTTTTATTTTTTCGAATAATTCTAATGCTGATTGCCGCAGCTGGCATTTATAGCTTCACGAACGATAGGGGGTGAATGCAGATGGCATTGTAAACCCGTGGAAGGACTATATGCCAACTGAAGACCAGTTTTAATCAATCCATATCGTCCTGTTATACTGAGGACACAAACCAACGTAGGAGCAAACACTTACATGGTCATTTGGTTAGATATATTTGAATCTAAAATGACAGGGGGCGAGTCTACCTATATCTCTCGGATTATTTATGTTTTAAGGAACAGACCGCCATATAATACGGCCAGCTGTTTTACTAACAACAATTTCGATCTCCGTTTGAGTTTTAATCAATCGTAAAATTAATTTGAACATATCGTCACTGCCAAAAGAGGTCTGTTATACAGGAGAATAAATACTCAGTCATTAAAGACAGATTGATCGACTGTTATGAGGAGAGCGAGCAAAGACGTTTCCACAAACTGCTCGCAATCAGAGACATTGTCAAACCCAGTTATTGAGGAAAATGAGAGAAGCAACGTCATGGTGAAAAATTAAACACTCGCATACATGGTCATTTGGTTAGATATATTTGAACCTGAAAATGACAATATGTACATAGAAATAATGATCTTATGTACTAAATAAAAATAGGAAAATGTCTACACAGTTTATATCTCTCGGATTATTTATGTTTTCTGTCATTAATATTTTCTTTATCCAAGACTCACATAAATATTAAATGTGAAATTGGTATTCATTACGCCAAGTACTATTAATGGTTTTCTTTCGAATCAAGTTAATAGTTTATTATAAAAAAGATTTAGTGCAGCTTACCCGCTTCTTGGTCATTCTCCTCAGGATCCTCTCCTTTCTCGTCGCTGCTTTGTTTCTCGGGCTCTTCTTCTTTCTTGCGCGCTCGTTCCGCCTCTACACGCGTCACCAACTCGTCGTAGTTGTTGAGCTCCTTTTCAAGAGAACTTATCAACATATTCTGAAATATAAACAAAAGTCGTGTCACGTAAAGAACTGTACAATCGAGATACTTAATACACTTTACGATTAACCCTGTATATCATATACAGGGTTAATCATAATGTGTAGTAAGTCGAAAACTAACTAGAATACTGATGAGAAGATTACTGATGGTTCAACACAATTTGATGTTTAAAAATCAATTGTGTACTGTTGACACTAAATTATGACTTAACTCTGGACTGTAGGGTAAAAAATAGAAAACCGTAAATGTCCTGTGATATACAATAAATGCACTTGTCTCAGACTTTGAAAGAATAACGACATTAAACTGCTATACTATGTGCTTTTAAACAAAAGATACAGAGCAACTCGAGTCGCACAGCAGGATCCACTCCGGCTGCTCGCCGCTGTGACTAGACTAGTGTGTGTGAGTGAGTGTGAGAGTGTCCCCACTCACGTGGTTGCAGGGCGGACAGAACCAGTCGCCCTCGGGCACGAGCAGCAGCATGGGCTTGAGGCAGGAGGCGTGGTAGCCGGCGTCGCAGCCGTCGCACAGCAGGATCCACTCCGGCTGCTCGCCGCTGCCGCACCGCATGCAGCCGCCGCAGTGCTCGCTCTCTGAGGGACAGACGCACATACACTTTCTTCATTTGTTACAAAAACTATACCTTTTATATTTTCTCTCTATGACAGACGAATTTAGCCTAATCTTTCTCGAAAAATTTTTGCCTATTCTATCATTGGAAAAAAGATGTGCACGAATGCGGGAAAAAATATAGTCTAATTTCGACATTGGGCAACCAGTACTAAGTATAAAACAAAATATTACTTACCCTCTTGTAAAGTTCTCGCCCTCTTGAGCGGTTCGACTGGATCGCCACTTTCCAAGTCGGACTCCGGCGAAAACTCATGGTCAGATTTGGAGTAGTCCACTGTTGACAGAAATGTTTTATTATTGTACTAATATAAAGCAAAACTCCTACTATTCATTTAGCTAGACGATATTTTATATAAGTCTTTAAATAAGTAGTCCCTTTGTCGGCTTTTATGGACTGGGAGTCGACGGTAATAAACTATCGAGAGAGGCGAGTCGTAAGCTCGTTTGTCCCTATGCTATAAAAATATGTATTATATGTTATGAAGGCGCGTGCGTGGATGGACTATGCTGCGTACGGTCGGGCTCGTCGTGCAGATCGGCCCGGGCCGGGCCCGCGCTGTCAATACAATGTCATGCTCACGGTCGGGCTCGTCGTGCAGGTCGAACAGCGGCTCGTCGGAGTCGGAGTCGGGGTCGGGCCCGCTGGAGTCTGCGGCGCGCCACGTGGCCGGGCGGCGGCCCCGGCCCGGGCCCGGGCCCGCGCCGCCCCGGCCCGGGCCGGGCCCGCGCTGTCAATACAATGTCATGCTCACGGTCGGGCTCGTCGTGCAGGTCGAACAGCGGCTCGTCGGAGTCGGAGTCGGGGTCGGGCCCGCTGGAGTCTGCGGCGCGCCACGTGGCCGGGCGGCGGCCCCGGGCGCCCGGGCCGGGCCCGCGCTGTCAATACAATGTCATGCTCACGGTCGGGCTCGTCGTGCAGGTCGAACAGCGGCTCGTCGGAGTCGGAGTCGGGGTCGGGCCCGCTGGAGTCTGCGGCGCGCCACGTGGCCGGGCGGCGGCCCCGGCCCGGGCCCGGGCCCGCGCCGCCCCGGCCCGGGCCGGGCCCGCGCTGTCAATACAATGTCATGCTCACGGTCGGGCTCGTCGTGCAGGTCGAACAGCGGCTCGTCGGAGTCGGAGTCGGGGTCGGGCCCGCTGGAGTCTGCGGCGCGCCACGTGGCCGGGCGGCGGCCCCGGCCCGGGCCCGGGCCCGCGCCGCCCCGGCCCGGGCCCGGGCCCGCGCTGGCCGCGTCGCTGCTGCCGCTCGCGCGCCACTCCTCCTCCTCCTCCTCGTCTTTGCTCTGCAATCGAGCCGATTAGAAAATGTTATACTATGCAGACCGAAAGACGCAGTAGAAGAGAAAAGAAGATGGGAAGACGATGTAAATCAAAATTCTGGTTCCACATTGAGAAAGAAAGCAGAGGAGATAAGTATGAAAATCTCGACTATGTATATCATAGGAGAAAACATATCCAAAAAGTGTCTACCTATATAGAATCTTATTTTATTTATTTATTTAGGGAAAAGGAAAATCGTAATTACCCATATTACAGTCTAAAGACAAGATATGCAAGTGCATTAATAAATAATTCCAATAAAATAGATATAATTAAATATATGGATTAAATAAACGTAATATATTCATAATAAAGAAAATAATAAGGCACCTAATTTAATATCCTTACATAGTAATAAATGAAATCGTTTGCACTGTTTGTTCGACATAAAACTGATTTATGAAACATTACTATTATATTCAAACAAATAATATATTAATACTTCACGTCATGGTAAGTCACATAAAAGCTAAGCTAAGATAGGAATGTCGATTCGTCATAAACTCCCTGACACCTGGTTCTCTTTTATTACAACATTTAAATTTATCAAGGAATCTACATATGTATCTATATATGTATTTGTGTCAATAGTTGCCTTTACAGGACACGATCTTTGCCGCAAAATCAGAACCGCGCGTCTTAGAGCATGGGAAAGAAATTCAAAGAGCATAGGTATAAGGCAGCAAATAATTACCTTTTTCTTGTGTATCATTTTCATTTCTCTTAAGGCCACTTCCTCCTGGTGTCTCCTCTCTGCTTCTTCTTTTATTTTCATTTGGGCTATCCTCCGGGATTGCCTAACAGGAGCAGCATCAGATTCATCTGAATGTGCAGCCAATTTCTTCTTAGCTTTATCTTTTAGTTTTTCTTTACTTTTAGGTTTCTTTTTAAGATTCTTTTTATTTGATTTCTTTCCAGCTGTAATAGGAGTTTAAATGTAATGAATGTTTTTAATTTATGTTTTACATTATATATCAAATACTATACCAAGTATTGTATCAACTGTATAGTACCCATTACACAAGCACTACTTAGCTTGGGACTAGATGGCGTAGTGTGAATTGTCCAGGGATATTATTAGAATAGAATAGAAAATCATTTATTCAAATAAACTTAATTTAATCACTTTTGAATAGTCATTTTATTTCTTTAATCTACCTGTCAAAATCATCCTTCACACTACCACTCATTCGGAAAGCTATATCGCATCACAAGAAGAATGAGCAAGAAACTTGTGTGTTGCTTTTTTAAATAATCTTTGTAAGTTCACATTTTACAAGTTCATATTTATTAGATATATTTTATATTTATATATTGGTAAGAAGATGAAATGGTATACCTATACTATAAAGTGTTTCCTCTTCAGATTCATCACTGGATTGCTTCTCTAAAAGTTTGGCCTCTACTTTTTTCCTGTGAATAATTAATTCTCAAATTGCAGTTAAAAGTAATTTAGGACTGTCCTAAATCATTTTATCATGTCCTAATTATTAGTGTTTTATTAGGACAGTATATAAACTCAACAAACCAGCTAGATTTGGTCATAAAAATATATATTTAAAAAAAATATTGATAATGGAGAGAATTTTATACAGCCTACAGAAATCTGTCTTACCTTGTAGTAGTTAAAATCTTCTTAGGTTTAGTTTTCTGTCGTTTTCCTTTTGTCACTGGCTCATCATCTTCAGTCTCGGTTTGAGATTCCGATTTATTTTTATCACTCATGGTAGCATCTAAAAGTGATCGTTTTAATGATTTAGATTTCTTATCCTTAACACTAACATCCTTATCAACACTTGTCCCTAAAACTGTATCACTGTTGTTTGCATTTTTGAGAAACTTTTTTCTTTTAAACTTCCCTTTACTTGCTTTGATCTTTTTTCTATGTGTTACTGCATTCTTAATGTCTTCTGGGTCTTTATTTATAATCTCATTATTTTCACTGTTATTTACATTATCTACCTTATCTATGGAGTCCTTGGAATGTGAGATGTTGACATCACTCTCTGGAGTAGTTTCCAATCGTGATTTCTTAGAGGGCAAAGGATCTTCAATTTTGATTTCTTTATCAGGACTTGCTTCCTTTTCATTATTTATGTGATCTCCTTCATCTTGATCCACTGATGAAACACTACTTTTCCTTTTTTCTATAATACTTGATTTACTATCATGACCATTATCAGTCTCAGATACAGAATTTAACATTTCTTTCTTATCCTGCTGTTTCTGTTTTGTTATATCAAGTTTCTTTTTTACTTTAATACTTTTTTTAATATTATTTTTTCTAGGAGTTTCACTATCTGTAGTACTTTTATCATTAATACTTCCTTCTCTTTCCAAAGAATTACTTGAATTAGAAGTTTCAGATTTATCTGAATTCCGAACACAATGTTTTTTTGACTCAGATTTCAACAAGTCAGTTGTGTCATTTGATTGTTTTCTCAATGTTCTCTTAGTGACTGAAGGTATACTACTTTTTAACTTTACAGGTTTAGTTATTTTAGTTTTACTACTTAAATTAGCTATTTCGTGATGTTCTCCATTTACACATTCTTCATTACCATTTTCTCCTTCACTATTTTCATCAGGAGTGTTTGTTTGTTCCACCACTTCTGGGTTACCAGTATCATTGTCATAACCACAACCTTCTCCAAAAAAATACATAACATCTTCTGTAATTTCATCACCTATAATATAAGAGCTTTCACAGTCTGCCCCACTGCCTTCCCCAGTGACAATCATGACTGGTTCCTCTATTGCTTCACTAACCGCTTCTTGTTCATGTTTGTTTTCAGGAGATTCATTATTGACAGTCTCTGGCTCTTTTTTGTCCTCAGTGGGATTTGTATCAGGATTTTCAATAGGAACCTCAGGTTGAGTTTCAATAAATGCATCACTAGAAGTTTCAGTAGGCCTTTCAACACTTTTTTCTTCTTCTTCTTGTTTAGTTTCTGTGTTTGACTCTGGGCTTTCATTCTTAATTTCTTCTTCTGTTACTTCTGGGGTTTGTTCTGGGACTTTTTCTTCTTTTGAGGATTCTTCATGTTCTGATTCTGATTCTGGACTTAAAAATTCTTCCTCATTCTCATCATCATTTTCGAGTTTGGTTGTCTGAAAAATGCATAAATTAAATATTAGATAACAGACAACAAAGACATAAATTTACTACTTTTAATTAATATAAATATACCTCTAATGGAGGAGGAAGTTCAGCACTGCTTGAATCTTCATTATTATTGGGTACAATTAAGGGACAAACTTCTTCTCCATTTTTCAATTGTGATATAACTTTAACTAGTTCTTCTCGGTTTCTAGAAATTACATATAAATAATTCAGATTACATATATTTTATTATTAAATTACATATAATTATATCATGTGTAAAAGTATTAATATAAATATGATTCACTATTTCCTCCCTTGTAAGGCATATATTATACTGCGACTTATTTTATGTAAAAATATCTATAATATATAAAACTATATTATTCATAGAACTAGAATAAAGTATATTATTCTTTAATTAATATTATTATTTCAATATTCAATATGATTTATAAATAATATAATATAAAAATTAACAGAAACATTGAATATTACAAATGGTGACCATAGTACATTGTCAGTATTGTAAAGTATAAAAAACAATATTTTATATAGAATGGTAGCAAATATCCAATATTATAAGTAGAGAAACTGCATCATAATATTAATATCATATGTAGAGAAACTATATCACATAAGGCAAAAGAAACTATATTACCTAGCCACTAACTGCCATGTTTCTTCGTCCTGATCCTCTTTGAACAAACATAGATTTGCCTCCTCATCCACTTGGTACCAATAAACACAACCATTCTTATCCCTCCCAATTGGGTCCAGTCTGAGCTCTTTACATGATATTGCATTTACTGCAGATTTAAACTTTGGATGGCATGTGAACTGATATTCTAGTAATAACTGGAATAATACAAAACAACTTATTGTGAAAATTTGACACTTGTTTTGAAAATATGTAAACATATTGTTTTTTTTTATTACTATTTTAATCTTAGGAATTTATTTATTTAATTAGATATAAAACAATAATTAATAATAATAGTAAGTGATTACCTTTAGAACTTTTAATTTCACTTGTGTACTAGCTTTTTTGTACGAAAACCTTTCCATTTCCCAAGCCTCCTGATGATGTGCATGTTGATGACAAAACTTTATCAGATACTTCTCCCATTTATTGGTCTGCACGGACTTAAGGGCACGTCGTAAGAGTCTCAGATGTATATCCTTCAAGGGCTCTAACACTACAACAGTAAAAAACTAATAAGTTGTTTGTTTATAAAACTACGTTGCAATATATGCTATATTACTGACCTTCTTGTGTGTTCTCAATGAATTCTTGCAATTTGGCTATTGTAGGCACATACAAGCCATACAACTTGCCAAATACTTTTAAAAATGAGTAAATAACAGCGAAATTAGGATCATTCGTACACGAAATTTCACCATCGGACGCCATCGTCGGAACTTAATAAGCTTTTTCACTAAACATCTATAAATGATTATAACTAACGTTTAATAATTGTAGGACTTAACTCTACTGGAAAATTATAAAACATGTACATGATTCACGAAAATATCTCGATATTTATGCACATTAAAAGCTTCTTATTTTCTAACAAAACTCGATGACAGCCATCGTAGGCTACCATAAACAAATTACATTATTTTTATTGCCACAGAAGATCGAGTTAGCAATTTTCTTCAGCTTTATTGTCGCATTGACATTTACCCAATTTCAGTTATTGTTCTTAGGTCAGTCAACGTCAGTGCCGTCAATCCGTCCGACCATAGCTCACAGAATTTATAGGTCGTTCGACTGTTCCACAGACAGAATAGAAATTATTTATAATCTGTAGGAAACCCCATTGACTCGAGTGTGTTTGGTTTCGTTTACTTTTGTGAATTGTACCATTCTTCTTATTGCTTTGTTTCTTACCATAGGATTTATAAATAATACCAACCAAGATGTCTTCAGTATGTTGTGGAACTAAGAAACAAAAATTAAATAACTCTTACAGTAATAGTATAGATCGACCTTTGAATGGTTACCAAGAATCTGTAGCTATACCCGATATGTGTTACTTTTGTTTCGATGTTTTGTATTGTCAGCTGCACAGCATGGATCCTCCACAGACGCCAAATTTTACTAACGAAGCCTAGTAAGTAGTTAATAGTGCAACCTTTTACATACCTATTACCTATACAGTCTCAGTATAAGTTGGTTGCATACTCTTTGTCTACACCACCACTGGTTCTTTTGTCTATATTAAGGTCACTGAAAATAGCAGTATTCGTCTAACATAATTGCTCAATGAACAATTTGTCATAACACATTTTTTACCAAACAGTTTATATTACCACTTTCACTTCATTTACATAATCTTATTTACATTATATGCAGCTATAATCCCACTGACTGGTTCTACACACACATGCGTTTATAGCTTGTATATGTGTGTACATGCACATCAGACAAAGAGATGCTCCTTGCACAACAAAGGAAAGCAGTGGATGTTCAATTTGATGATCTGGGTGGTGTAGTGTGACATTGACTTTTACCTTATCACATGATAAAGTAGATGTTGACCTCCACTCTGTCACCAGGGAAAATATAATGGTTAATTAATAATGATGGCTTAACTGACCTTATTTCATATACCTCCATCATTGATACCCTATAAATACCATTAATATAATCTCTATCAAAATTCCATTCCATTTATTCCATCATCAACTAAAAAACCTGCCCTCACCTTCTATAATGAACCCCATACAATATCAATATTTCTATTAATGAGGACTGTCTATCTCTTGTTTATATTAATTGCCAATTTAGTGATGATTTTGTATAGATGGTACTGTAAAATATGTTAGGGATTATTATTTATGTTTATCAAATATTGAGTCAAAAGGCAGACACACAACACTACTAAAATAGTAATTTTATTAAAAGTAGCATGTTAAATTTATATGTCTGATTGGATTATACTTCACCTTTTATACTCATCCTTTAGATAACTCTTACTACTGTAAAAATATTTAAAATACATTGAGATTAGTAGAGATTACTAATTGATAATTTTGATCATAATCATATCCATTATAATGATAAAATACTGTATCACTTCCTTATAAAATATTAGGACTACCACACAAATACTATAATATTGATGATTATCACAACATTTATTGTTATTTAAATATGTTTAATAATCAAAAAAATATAATATTTGATGTATGAAAAATTATAAAACTAATTTATGATTATTTTATAATTTTTTCAGTCCCTTGTTTGTGACATGGAAAATTGGGAAGGAGCATCGTCTTCGAGGTTGCATCGGAACCTTCAATGCAATGCATTTGCACTCGGGTAATTGTCTCCTGTTTGCACCTTTTCCAATCTTTTATTTCTTATGACATTAACTTAAGAACTAATCATTACCAAACTCACCCAAAATACTGAACTTAAAACTTAACTAAAATATGATGTAACTACCGGCTACTGTGTTTTGATGGTTGATCTATTTAATAGCCTTGGTTGTCTGGTTTAGCACACTGCTTTACAAACATTTACAAGCTACAAACATTTGTAAGCTACTGAATTTAATTAATTATAAATAGAAAACAATGAAATCATAAATGTCTTTAATTGTTGGCATATGGTCTGAAATTTTTGGCATATTGCTCTTGCTATGTTGGTTTCAACTAAAATAAAAATTGAGTGGCGGCGCGTGGCGTCCCTATTGCTTTGTGCGCCTGTGTGCCGCCGTACACTCCGCACATAGGGGCTGCGGCCCTGAATACATTTTTACGAGAGGTACACCAGTCCATCCGTAATGCTATTCATCTATATATGCGATGGTTATCTACTACCATCAGAGTTAGCTTGTATAACTTTCCAATTACATATAAAAAAGATGCATATCCACAACTTGTTGCATGCATATAAATCTTCAAGAAATTCCGACTTGTCCATTACATAACAGAATATTTATCTGATTCATCTTTATTTAATAGTACTTAATCTTTTTATTTTCAATTTAAGCAATCAATATTTAAAATTGATATAGTTTATGATTTAAAAACAAATTTAAGATAAAAAACTGTTGACTGTTCAAATACCAAACTGGTACACTATGCTTCTAAGCTATATTTCAACTTTATTCAATGCCTGACGATGTCTCGATGGATTCGAAACACTTTTCGCAATATGGCTGTAGAGTCATGACTCAATAACGCTAGGAAATTGATCACCAATAGAGAAGGTCATAACTTCCAGTAGAGTGATCCAGTTTCCGCTCTGAGTATTTGTGGTCTCATACATGCTAATGGTATGCGAAATTAAATTAAATAATTCCATTAAGTATGGAAATGGACTTCCGCAAATTATTACCTAATTCTATAAAATAGAATTTTTCATTGAGATTTTTTAATCAGAAATAGACTAATATATTTTTTTTATAGAACGGAAATGACAAACAACCTTACTGTTCATCTGGTGGTAAATAGTTGCCACTGTTTATACCTAATCAATATTCATACTGGACATTCTAAAGATAGGTTTACGTCAATGGATCTCTAATACAGTTGGAGAGAGAAAAGCATATCTTTAAAATTAATCTATATATACCTATATAACTCGAAGGTGACTGACATAGTGATCTGTCAACGCACAGCCCAAACCACTGGACGGATCGGGCTGAAATTTGGCATGCAGGTAGATGTTATGACGTAGGCATCCGCTAAGAAAGGAATTTGAAAATCCTTTCTTAGGGGATGCCTACGTCATAGTAGATTTATGCATGCAAAATCTTAGCCCGATCGGATTAAAATTGACAAAGTTTCATACAAACTTCCATCCCCTATATTATCCCCTTGGGGGTAGAATTAATCAAAATCCTTTCTTAGCGGATGCCTACGTCATAACATCTACCTGCATGCCAAATTTCAGCCCGATCCGTCCAGTGGTTTGGGCTGTGCGTTGATAGATCACTATATCAGTCAGTCACCTTTGAGTTATATATATTTAGATACTGTATTTCGTAAATTGAAATAATTTTAGAATAAATTAAACTTCTAATTGTAGAACAAATCTCTACGATGTTTGTTCTAAAATGATAATCCGATGCAAAACAATATGAACTATCACGTTACGAAGACATAAGTATTTGATCTTATTATGTGTTCTAAGTTTGAACAAACATTTGCAATTTGCAAATATAAAATTGTTTACGGTATTACGCATTAATTAGCGCATATGATTCAAACGAGCATCTAAATAGATAAACGTTTGCTGATGCATACGCTTACCTATGTATGATATAAAATTATAAGAAATATGTTGTCGATTAGGCACTGGATTTAAATATATATATTTATTTGATGAAATGATTACTAAGAACGTAAAACCTTGAAGATGTAGTTATATACATATACTAGCTATTCACCCCGGCTTCGCCCGGGTATACATGTATTATACAACATATAAACCTTCCTCTTGAATCACTCTACGTATTAAAAAAAATGCGTTGCGTAGTTTAAAGATTAAGCATACATAGGGACGGACAGACAGCGATAGCGACTTTGTTATAATATGTAGTGATGAAGAATACTACTGAAGAATGAATAAGAAGAAGAAGAAGAAGAATGATACTGAGTTTGATGTCTGTAATGCAAAAAATATACATATAGTATGCATTGTATCACATGCATAAATTAGAATATAAATATTTATGAAATGTATAATAGGTTAGTATCCTTAATAATTAAATATTAGTAATTTATTTATTCTTAAGTTATCTTTTTTATAAAATTTCTTACATTATGTTGAACTATAAGCAGAGTTTGTGAACTGATAACGGAGTGTACACCCCAGTGGGAGGACGATATAACGAGGGGAGAGCAGAATATCTTGTCTTACTAATATTATAAACGTGAAAATTTGTGAGTATGGATGGATGTTTGTTACTCTTTCACGCAAAAACTACTGAACGGATTTTGATGAAACTACAGTAATATAGCTTATACATGAGAATGACATATAGGCTATAAATTTCACACGTATTTTATTTATCTTATATATAAAATTCTCGTGTCACAGTTTTCATTCAAAAATCCGAAACGGCTACCGATTCTCATGAAATTTTGTAAGCGTATTGAGTATGTCTGAGAATCGGCATTATATATATATTAATACAACATACATATATATATTTTTCATTCCCGTTGTTAGGGGTAGTCCACCCCTAAATTTTTTTTTTAATTTTAAGGCAAAACAACGTTTGCCGAGACAGCTAGTTTTTATATATAAAGATTATGCGAGAGGAACAATAAAGAGTTGATGTCGTTTAACTAAAGTTAGTAATTCGTTTTATGGTAATTGCGTAAGGTTTTACAACAAAATACCCGAGTCTGTTCTAAATCTGCCTGAAAAAAAGATTTAAATGTCATATAAAACACTTCCTTTGTAAAAAAGCTTACTATAAAACTGAAGAGTTCGTTAACGATAATAACATTTTTCTAAAATCTTAAAATCCATAGCGCTGACAATATTATCTGATTGCACCAAAAATGAGTGCGTAGCGGTATAATGCCTTACTTGTTATAAGTAAGGCAATGCATGCGATAATCAACATATGATTATCGCATGCCTCTTACTTGTTATACTGTAATTATTTATATATATTTAAAAAAACATCTATTCAAAAGAGCAACACACAAGTTTCTTACTCATTCTTCTTGTGATGAATCTGCATTCCGAATGAATGGTAGAATCAAAAATATGACTATTCAAAAGTGCTTGTAATGAGTTTATATTAAGATTTACTATTAGAGTAAGATTATTTCTATTTAATTTAATTTAATTTAATTTCTTCTTTCAGGTTTACGCGAATACGCGATAACAAGTGCGTTAAAAGACTCGCGCTTCTCCCCAATAACGAGGGAGGAAGTGCCCCGGCTGACGGTGTCGGTGTCCATTCTGCAGCACTTCGAGGAGGCGGAGCACTACCTCGACTGGAAGTTGGGGAAGCACGGGATACGTATCGAGTTTATAAGTGAACGTGGCACGAAGCGGACCGCCACGTATTTACCACAAGTTGCCACTGAACAAGGTAAGGACATGATGTTTGTAGTGCTGCTTATCATATAAAGAAGAGAAGAGAACGAGCAAGGAATTTGTGTGTCGCTCTTTTGAATAAATGTTTTTTAAATCATAAATGCACAGTAACAAGTTATAGGAATGCGATAACTAACATATATATGTATATATATGTACCAATAACACAAGCTCTACTTAGCTTGGAAGTGGATATATATATATATATAAATGCCCAAAGAGGTGTTTATATATATATATATGTCATAGGGGTATTATTACTACTACACAAAGTGTGTGAGCCTTATTCTATTATACATGAACTACAAAAAAAACATTATATGTGTTTAATAAGTACATTTATAACTAAACGTATTGTGAAAAAATAAAATGAAGTAGTTAAACATTTGGGATATGTTATCAGGGTATTATTATATCCCATATATATTTTTTTAATTGATGATAATTAATGCACCATCCTGCGCTAACGGTTTACGCTGGCGGGGCACCAGTGGGGGATGATTAGATGAACATGAGGTCATGTTCATCTTATCATCCCCCATGACAAATTCATCACGAAATTATCACGATGGTTTCAAAGGGTAACAGCGTGGAGGTCAACCTGATATGATACATTGCTAACAATAAGATCAGCAGTCCAGATGACTGATAATTTCCTTTCCCCCCTACTATTAAAGTTATTGTGAAGATATATTAACCCATTGCAATGTGTTACCAGGTTGGGACCAAATCCAAACGATCGACTCGCTGCTCAGAAAGGGCGGGTACAAGGCGGCCATCACGGCGGACATGCGGCGCAGCATCAAGCTGACGCGCTACCAGTCGGAGGAGATCTCCGCCTCCTACAACGAGTACGTCAGCCAGCGGTGCTAGCAGCGTCCGCCTCCCACGTGCCGCCAACATCCGCGGCTCGTGTACCAACACATACCTTATACATACAACAGACCCTATCGCAGTACGGACGGTCGGCGCAGTTATAAATATTGTGTTAGATGTAACTTAGATGCTAAGCGTACCCATGGTGTCCGAAACGAGTGTACAGAGAATCGTGTGCAGTGCAACCACGTGCGTGACTATACGAGGACGGTGAAAGGCCAGAATTATGCTCAAAGTGACGTCCCAGACGACAGATCGTGTCTTATAAAAATCATATAGGGTTTTGACCACTGCCAATCACATTCCTTCGTGGTGACGACGCTGCCATCTATAACGAAGTATGAAACTTATGAATTAATGTAAATACATAATACCGTGGATTTAGATCTGGGGTTGATTATGTGACATTGTTGCATTCCGCACCGATCGATCCCCCGTCCAATTCAAACGGGGATCGACATTACGACGACCTGAGTCCAGGTTCGAACCCTAACGTTGCCCTCTGACTAAAGTCGTATCTGTCAGGCAGGAGTTGGCCTTCAGCCGCTCCATAAGTCCTTCCGCGGGTTTGGGGTGCCATCTGCACTCGCCCCTTATCGTCCGGTGAAGCTGTAAAGGCCAGCTGCGGCCCACAACATTAGACTAGTCCGAAAAAAACTGTTGGATTGGTTTCATATACAAAGCTTTGCAGTTCATATGAACTATTTTATACTGCCAAATATAAGAGTTATTCGTTTTGTGACTACAACATTCAAATAGTTCATATATATAATTTAATTTCAGTTAATTTAAATTTGCTACATAATCAGCCCCTTGGTTTGTGTTTGTGATATTTATTGGTTTAAATTTGCAACTGTAAAACTTAAATAAACAATTCGAAACGGTTTATAATAAAAAAAAAAACAATTCCAAACACGTCACATATTCAAGCACCCGGTATTTGTACAATAGTTAATGTCATATAGCGTAGCTAGAATTGATTACCAACATTCGGGAATGCACTTTGAACAAAATTGTCAAATGCCACCTTTGTATTTGATCGAGAAAGCAATCGTTGACATGAGCTCCGTAGTCCTACAAGCGGATAACTACAGTCCGGCCGCTCAGAGTTTGCATTTCTGACAGGTCGGGATCAAATGGGCGATGTAACTTTAAACTAACGTACAATTTACGGCAAATTTTTAAATATCTTTTATTTGCCTTATTAAAGAGTGATAACATTAAAAGTTTAATAATTATTACAACTTACAATAAATGTATTAATTTTGGTCTAAAATTATTAACTATTAACTGCTTAACAAATATAAAACAATAGTTTTTAAAATCAAACCACATTAAACTGTTACAAATTTATTTGTTCACGTCACTACAAAAACAAACAGTTCATTTTTCGATCACGACCTGTCAGAAACTCAAACTCTGAGTGCTCGGACTTTTGAGCTTTTTGACGATGTTTAGAATGCGATAGAACATCTCATGCCGTCTCTGTCTTAAATGTGACGAACTTAGAGATATGCTGGTCTACGGGGCTCTGAAAACTAACAATTTATTTTCATCTCGGCCTGTATAGCCATTCAGATATGAACATCGATGTCCCAATTGCGGTGTTATCCACACTCAGTCACTTGCTAGATGCTCGCTAGTGTAGGCACTTATATTGTTAATGAGAGGAATATTTTTTACTTTATTAGAAACTAGCTACCGGCTCCACACGGGTGTACATGTATTATACATATAAACCTTCCTCTTGAATCACTCTATCTACTGCTAAAAACTGCATTAATATCCGTTGCGTAGTTTAAAAGATCTATGTAAACAGACAGCAGAATCGATTTCATTTATACTAAGACTAGCTACTCGCCCAGGCTTCGCACGGGTGTATGTATTATATATATAAACCTTCCTCATGAATCACTCTATCTATTAAAACAAACAGCTTTAAAATCCGTTGCGTAGTTTTAAAGATTTAAGCATACATAGGGACGGACAGACAGCTACAGCGACTTTGTTTTATACTATGTAAAGATTACAAATAAAATCACAAGTTAATATTGGTAATATTAATGCTAACAAGTTTGAATGTATTGCTAAATGTATCAATACAAGGTTTTTATATAAATTATGACAAGATATGTATGGATATGTTCCGATATAAGTAAATGCAAGTACTTGCTATTCAATACATGTATTTTCGATTCAATATCAAGTACTTTTGGTATTGAATCAATGTTATGATACTTATTCTGTATCAAAACAAAAATAATTGACATAATTGATACCTGTTAATACATGAAAAGGTAATTTAAAAAAATAAACAAATATCTGATGACTTAAAAAGTAGATCGATCGAAACTCAAATTAATATCAAATCAAATCAAAACATCTTTATTCATGTTTCTATTACAGACTCTTATGATATGTCATGTATGCAATATATAATTGATACTTGTTGACACATGTAAAGGTCATTTAAAAAAAAAAACAAATATCTGATGACTTAAAAAATAGATCTATCGAAACTCAAATTAATATCAAATCAAAATATCTTTATTCATGTAGGTCTATTACAGACTCTTGTGATATGTCAAATCTACCGTCAGTTCGGAATGCTTTCGAGATGAGAACTGATGTAAAATATGAAACCAGACCTTTACAGGTCCCGTAATTATAATTAAAGATATCAATAGTAACTTTGGATATACGCATATGAGTATAACGTGTTTTTAAGTGTTTGCATTTTCACTAATGGTGAGCCGATTTTGATGATTATTTTTTAGTCAACGGATTACTCTCAGTCTCGTTTTAATATCGTCGAAATGTACTTAATTTCGTACACGTGGTTAAAAACGATCGTAAAGTATTCGCATGCTATTCCCATTAATTTTGACAATTTAGAGTAATTACTAAAGCAGTTTACTCGTAATCATGGCAGTTGAAACACTGCCGACATATCGGGAACTCAATAAAAATAAATAAAACGTAAGATCCCGTGATTTTTCCTAATTAAACATATAAATAATGACCGCGTGTATAAAACAGTATCTTTCAAAATCGGTCCTATATTATTACACTTGCCATATTTTGTATGTAGTTGTTATGATACCATAACAACTACATACAAAATATGGCAAGTACTACAATACAAATACATACAAATTCTGTATATCGTGACGTCGATTTGTTTTCAAAACGTATGCTTCTCCGGTTTTTATCTCAATAATAATAATAACTGAGGAATTTACCGCTTTTTTTTCTCGTTACAAAATGCTTTAAAAATATCACTTTATTAATTGTTAATAGAGGTCATACTTTGAATCATATATCCCTTACAGGACCTTAGATTTTTTTAGACTAATGGCAATAATCAAATAGTAATAAAATATATATAACTAGCTGTGCCTGCGACTTCTGTCGCAGCGCACGCAACGGAAGCCCTCAAATATGAATTTTCTCCGTTTTTGCAAACATTTTTCACTGATCCTTCGCTTATATTGGTCGTAGCGTAATGTTATATAGCTCGACAAATGGACTATCCAACACAAAAAGATTTCTTCAATACGAATCAGTAGTTTCTGAGATTAACGCGTTCAAACAAACAATTCAGCTTTATAATATTAGTATAGATACAAAACAATATATATTTAAAACCAATGCAGTGGTCATGATATACGACCTTGTCTGTGTATTACACTATCAAATATATAGGATCATATTTGCACCCTTATTCATAAAAACGTCAAACGTGTAATAGCCATTATTTAGCTATTGAACTATTTGTCCTTTTCTTTCATACGGTTTGCTAATTTGAAGGAAAGAGACAGACTGTAATAGTGGAAATGCGTTTGCTGTTTTTATTTTTTTTATGACTAAGGCAGACTTGCGAAGATCTATTTTTGTAATTATGATCCTATGAATATTATATGTAATAAACAAACATGTTTATAATGATTCTAACAGCGGCAGTGTTTTGCCCTACACTTACATTGAGCATTACTCGGTAAAAGCATAGACTATATATTTTACTAAATTATTTAGTCTCTGGTAGAAGAAAGGATTGCCTATGCTTCCATACAACAAGCAATACAATACTTAGTCTTAATGCTATTTATATATCTATACATAGGTCTCATTTTCGTTTCCAAATAAAATCATTATAATAACGATAATGGTAAAGTAATAGATGATAAATGCATGCTAATTTAAACCTTATTAGTTTTACATGACAAAATAATCATCAATTTTACTCTGGAGTCTAATCTCAATATTGCGAGTCTCAACCCTCGGTAGTCCAGTGGTTTAGCATACCGCTTTATTTCTAATAGTCCCTGTTTTAATTCCTCGCACGGTACAAACATTTGTATTCATGAGCATGATTGTGTTGGTCTGGGTGTTATCTATGTATGTATTTACAAAATACAAATGTATTTGAATGCTTGTAACAGTTGTCTAGTACCCATAACACAAGTTTTGCTTTGCTTGGGACTAGATGGCGCTGTTTGAATTGTCCAGGTTTATTATTATGTCTAGATGAAAATTCTATTAATTTTTGTACTGTTATTTTGACCAAGCCGTTTAAGTCAATAACAAGTCAGTTTTTTTTAATATGACATATGAATGTGTTGCTATGGTATAATTCAAGAGTATCAAAAAGTATGTACTCTCGCAATCCAATGTCATCAGATTGGAATTAGCTTCCAGAGTATATTCAGCATCCCTCTAGTTGATAGAAGACATGGTTTCATCAGTTCCACCAAAACTAGTTGGTCTGATAAAAAAAAAACTGATTATCAGTTCTTAATAGCACAGTTATAGTACGCTAGGATCAGTAGACTATTTTATACTACGTATAGATATATACAGCGCAGTTTTGCCAGATTGAAGGTTTTCCCACCAAATTTGGGGGATTTTGTGATAAGTGTGTGGGGGAGTTTTTAGGCGTCCATGTAAAATATATAAGAATAGAAGGCTACTGACTACGTATAAGAAATGTGGGCCAGCGTGCCTAATAAACAAGAACAGATTTGTTGGAACCCTATACTATTTGGGGATTTCAAGCAAAATTTGGATGGAATACCACATAATCATCTGGCAACACTGATTGAGCGTATTGCTTGCTACGATACGAATAATTTGCAATGATTGCATGGGAATAAATATTGATGCTTGTACGCATTCAAATATTTTTTAATGTAAAAATGAAAATTTTTATAATAATATCGGTTTATTGATTGAAAGTGAAAATTCTAAAAAAAGTATATAAGGTCTAAAGCAAACAAAAAAAATAGTGTAAGGGTTCATTTGTTGTAGTATTAAGACTTACAATTAGTTTTACATAATTTGTAAATTTATCATTATATTACTGTAACAGATGAGTAAGGAGTGTGTATGGAATGTTACCAACGTTTCGTTTCGTTCCAAAATGGTCACTATTAATCAGATATTAGAATTGTGTTTTGCTAAGAACGTTCAGTATAGAAGTTTTTTTTCTAAGTGTGGATGAATTTTGTTTTGATTGAAGATGTTTGTTACTCATACACTAAAAAACTACTGATTGGAGTTTAATGAAACTTTAGAATAATATAGCTTATACATATGTATAACATAAGAAGACAAACAAACTATGAATTTCAAGCGGGTAAGTCCGTGGAATCAACAAGTTTAAAATATTATGGACAGTTTAAATATTTTTGAAAATTTACTATTTTCTCTTAATGTTAAAGGCAGGCAACTATAAAAATATGCAATTATAAATAATATAAGTTGTAATTTTTTTTTTAATTGATAAATTTTTTGTTAACCTAACTTGCAGACATGGTGAGATTTGGTCAAAAATTTCCAAAATTCCTGTACAGATGACGTGACCATTTTGAAACGATATTAATATATAATGACCGATAGCATATATATATGCAAATAGTATAACGATAACGCAAATATCGAGTCTAGTATCGAGTTAAGTACAGGGTCATAAGCGTATTCCAATGTTGGCTGTTTGTTGGACAAATGTTGGATGACAATATACTCCAAAAACTAATTAAAAAAAATAACGAGACTATGGTTCGGTCTGTTCGTGATATAACGTTGTTTTAAATTTACGAATACATATTTTTGTTAGCCGAGTCTAACTATTTAACATTACCAATCAGGCAGGTCGTATGCCTCTTCGCCCCATTTGTAAAAACTATTATAATTAACAAAACAAAATGATAACTACTTGTTTCGTTTTAAATTTAAGTACTTAATGTATTTCGAAATAAGTTGTTTATTGTACATTTTAAAGGGATTTCAATGAGGGATAATTAGTTATAAAAGTAATCGAGATATGTATAAGGTAAGTTGACGACAGCTCTATTGTATGTCATACAGATATATGCAGAGTTGTTTTTTTTTAATAATTCTCATTTTACACACTGCTATAATTAATAACGTAGTTTTATATAATTTTTTTAATCTTTTTTTAAACACTACACGTTATA